GCCTTATTACAGTAAAAAGTAAAATCATAGTTAAAAAGAAAACAAGGCAGTTCTCTTAAAAGCATGTTCCTGGAGGGTTGTCTACAGGTTGGGGATCATGCAAACTTTATGCAAGTTCTCTTGCCTGATTAGGTCACTTTACTACTCCTGCCTGGAAGCATAAATTGGTCAATATCACCACACCCTTCATAAGCAATTCCAATGAAAGTGTGGAAAGTGTTTGGATTACTGACTACTCTTTGCACTTAAAAACTAGCAATGATTGCTCGGTCTAGACCCATTAAATGAACAAGTACTAAGTTAAGGAGTGGTCTTTATCCTCCATTATATCAAAGAACAAACCCACCCAATGTGCTGAGATTCCTCGGAAATGAAAATAGAATCTTCATGTTTACCCCTCTGACTTACCCCTCATGGATTCTTATCTGTTATTTTAGGCCATAATGAGCCACTGAATTTAGATGGCAGTGATCTCTTGTGCTTTTCAATTAAAGTCAATGATTAACTCATTGTTACGGTAATGCACGCCAACTGATGATGATAAAGTTATGTTCAAAAAAAGCAAACTCTTACAGCATCCCTTTGCCCTCAAAATTTTGGAAAATATTTTTTAAGATAATTTCTACTATATGCTCTCTCAACACCTCTGAGGTAAGTATGCATATTTCCATATGTTGTATATGTAGGAATATGTAGGAACAGACAGGAGCAGTGAAATGGCCTGTCATGACTGCATAGCTACTTAGTGGTGGAGCTAAATCTAATATCCAGATCTTTTAGATACGTGCTTTTTTCATTACATTGCTTCACACTTCTCTATTTCCTAAAACTATCTTTCTGTAGCTCCATTTCAATCAGCATGAAGTGCCAAATACATCCACAGGCAGTCTAATTTGGACTGTAAGTTGTGCCAAGTTGAGTGTTTGTTTTGGCCTTGGCTGTAGATGTCCTGATTATCTCCATTAATGCAGACAGCTCACCTACTCTTCTATCACCCGTCCTAATTGGTTCAGCACCCTTAGGCTGCTGGCTATCATTCCATTTCATAAGGCTTACATCACTAGGTAAGAACATTTGCAAGATTTAATTTACTTGGTAGACCAAACAATGTTGTAAACCCACCTTTGATTTTGGCTGAAATGATAATTAATCTTGAAGCTTTCAAATTACCAAGTAAAGGGCAAATGCAGTATATTCTCTTTTAGAACAGCTGTGCAAATAGCCTTCATGTTTGGATTTAGGCTTTTACTTTATTGAAGATGGCCTTTAAGAGTCATTTGTTTCTCTCTTTGGGTGGGCTCCAAAATTTACTAAAGAGCCTTACACAGAAGCAAAACACTCATTATTCTACATGGTATTTGTGATACAATTGACTCATATTAACATTCTATTCACTGTCTCCTACCCAGTTGCATCTTTAAACTGGAGGAAAGCACTGAGATCCACCAGCATTCACTGTAGTCACATCACTTAAGACCAGTCGAATTGGCCTCAAATATTTCAGATCTTCTGCTTTCTTGTTGAAACCAAGAAGCACCTATTCCTTTTAAGATCATGCAAAATTTTTTGCTCCCCAACTATATTAATTTTCTCCTGGCACTAGTGAGTTCCTATCAGTTGAATTATTTCTGGTATTGGGTTAAAATATGTCATCTGGAAAAATCAGTTTAAAGCATTGAAGGGTGGGCCATCTCCGGGTAGTTTTTCTATACAAATCATTCATAACAGATTCACAAAATATATCTTATAGCCTTGAGTAGCAATGAAACAGGGCTCTACAAGTTGTAATACTAATAAATGTTCAATGTAGCATTTTTTTTTCACACATTACCCAAAGTTAGGGGGGAAAGGAAAAAAAAAAGCAGAAGCAGCTGCAACATCAATCTAACTTTCTATGTCAAGGCTGTTTAAATTGAGCTTGATACGGCTGACTCCACTCAGTCTTGCTCATCAGGATTTAGAAGCACAGAATGTCTCAAGAGGTCTCTCTTCTAGATCGACATGGCTGTTATGGAGTTTCACATCTTACCTGCATCGTGTCTAACAAATTGTCAGCTGTGCACAAAGCCAGAGAGGTTTTTTAGGAAGTTTTAAAAACAGCTTTCTAAACACTGCAAACTGTCGTATAATACTCAGGTATATAGTAGTACATGCTTTTTGAAAATAGTATTACTGGCCTCAACTTTTTCTCCTCCTGTTTTGTGACTTAGCCAATAATTCACTTCCATCTGGGAACACTTTCCCAATCTCCCCAAATTTCTCCAAATATGGAGGCTTTTTGGAAATGCTTTCTTGGCAAATACTCTTCTGCTCTGTACTCAGGGAACTCTTTATTTCTCCTTGTATTGCAAGTGCATAATACAGTGCTCAAATTGATTCTGGAATGAAAAAATGCCTGACTCTTCACTGTGGGTCCTCTGAAAATATGCTGTTGGGTCCCTCTTGTGAAGATCACTAAAGGAAAGTGGAGATAAATTCAATAGCCATTGTACCATCTATGAAAGACAGACACTGCTTTCTATTATCTACCTCAAATATGTCAGAGAAAAAAATGAAAAACTTTTCACAATTATTGCACGTATCTCAATCAAGTGTTACTGAGGAAGGCTATGTGAGTGCTGGTACAAGATGGGAATGAAAAACAGGATGGGGCCACGCATCCTTAGGGGGCTGTTCACTGGCCCCTGAATAGTGAACACACGTCTGAAGAATACCTCAGAAAGCCAAGGGATGTTTTTTGGTGATATACGGAATACAATCCTAAAATTTTTTTAAAAATTAAAAAGTCCTCCCTTTTCAGCTCAGCAATACCACCTGCATTAAGTACCACCACAGCTTGGAAAGACAGAGACCCAATTGTTAAACTGTGAAGGACAAAAAAGAATACAAAAAATATCCCTTAGAAGCCTGCCTTCTCTTGAAAAGCTCTTGTTCCAAAATGCTCTGTATAATTACTGTTAATTTGTACTAAGGGGCAATGATATACAGGCAGGCAATATCCTCAAATTGCAAGGTCACTTAAATTGTATTTTCCCATTCTTCCCTCGCACTAATGTTAACAGAGATGAGAGCAAGTGACTTAAGGAAACTATGACTTATCTGTGAATACACGACAGCTTTAAGCAGGAATACTGGCCCCTGTTTTGTATTATAGCCACGTGTTCCTACTTTTTCAACCTTGAAAAGTAAATATTTGCACTACAACCTTCAACAAAGGCCCTCCAGTTGCTGTCAGTCTTAGTCACCTTCTGTCTGCTTAGTGCCTTTAGCCCTTAGATGTTGCACCTGGAGATTCCTGCCTGCTTTATGATGTAGGTTTATATGCCCTTTAATTGAAAGCAAACCGCCTTAGATAATCCAGTGACAACAATGTCACAAGGTCCACTTTCCGTTAAAAGGTAAATAGAAATATTAGGCTGTTCCCTAAAATGAAGAAAAACACATAAAAATACACCGCAATCTGCCACACCACTTCCTTTATCAGAGATAAAACCCCATAGCCTAAAAAATCCCTTTTGTGTTTTCCCCCATGACAGGAGTGGGAGAGTGTAAGGAACTGCAGTTCTCAATGACTAATCTCTTCACCCTGTATAACATTCTTTGCACAAGCAAAGACTTCAGTCATACAGTATGTTAAATATTATATTCATGTTACTACAATAACTCTTATCAACTTTAACCCTAAGTTTTGTTTAATATTCTAATTATTACTTGTTGAAAACACTTCATCAAACAACAGATGAATATGGAAGGATGACAGGAACATACACCACACTCGTAAGCAATGTTTACTATTTTGGGGGGAAGGTTAGAGTGAGTTTATAAAAAGGTAGAGGAAAAAACATGGTATTATCTTTAAGGCAGTATAATTTCTATAAAATAGCTTCATGATTTTAAGTAGCCATATGACAAGTGATTAAACAGCTGCTTAACATATGCTAAGACCTCAAGCTAAGTCACAGCCTGCATGACTGTACACATGTGAACTGGGATCTCTGGGAGCTGGTACAGTGGACAGTCTGCATGGCTGGATGTTACAGTTGCACGCACCAACGCAAAGCATTCTTTTTTAAAGGGGAAAGAAAAAGAGGCAACAGTCATGCCAATGGAATTGTTAATGCAACAAATGACAGGTTTTGAACCAAAGTTCAAAACTTAGCACTGTCTCTAAAAACTACTGAGATATTCAATTAATACCAAAAATATTACACTATGGGGGAAAAAAAAAACAGTATTTTTCCAAGCACCTAACAGTGCTTTTCAAATCATCAGGCAGGAAAAACTTTCAAGGTTAAACAGTTAAGTGCATAATTGGAGGAACACCCCTCAGAGATACTATCTTCTACTCAAATCTCTTTGGTTTTAGATAAAAACTATATAGCTTTTTTTTGGTTTAATGAAACATACTGGCCAAATGGGGTCTCTGCCTGACCTCACCAAACAGTACTTACTAGTGAAATCTGCACTGTCTGGTTGGCACATTAGTAGAGCCTCAAACATGGCTTTAACTAAGCATTATAAAAATGTACAGATGTATAAATTTCCCTAGTATTTCATGGGGCTGCTGCTCTGCCTTCAATGATTAGATTGTACTTGTAGCTGTTAAGACCACATTTGTGGCAGTGTGTGTGTGTCATTAACAATTTTTCATCAAGTGCAAACAATCCACTATAGACTGATAACAAAACAAAAAGTATCCTTTGTATGGAGTCATATTGATATTCAACATAAGATAGCAGTCATTAAGTAAGTCATTCACACTATAGTTGGGAAAACTTTCTAAATACTATCGGCTTAAGAAAAAGGAATGTTAACAGTAGTACAAGTCTATATGTTCACTGTCTTCACAACAGAAAAGGACCCACCCTTTTCATGAATTTGAAAAGACAATGGAATGTTTTTATGGGAAAGCATGTTCAGAATAAGAAAGTGAATATCCGTATCTCCTACTTCAACCCTTTCCCACCAGAATGTGCAAAGTGAATAAAGACAGCAACATTTTTCAAAAAGTTAACTTATATTAAAAATATTTTATAAACAATTTTAATACTACAAAGTAGTATTGCCATACAAAGCAGTTCGAATATTAACTGTTCTTTAAACTGTTAAACTTTATTATAAATTAAAATTTCTTTACAAAAAAATTGCACATAATATTTGACCACTCTTAGGTTCTGATGCACTGGCATTTGCAATAGTTTCTTTAATCTTCAAGTTAAACAGTCTCGGCAAGGAGTCCAGAACGTAGAAAGGGCAATAAACAACCCTGTTAGAGCATTCAAGTGCAACTAGCAGACTTGTGGCCATGGCAGTTACACTTTCCTTAAGATGGACTGCTTAAGTTTTAAATCCTGAAATGAAGAATCTCAAAAGGTTTAAAGAGGAAAAACTAAAAGGGACTGCCGGCTTTTTACTGTAAACACAGCCCTGGAAATTAAATCCCAAACAAGAATCTCTCAGGCATCAGAGAGTGTCAAGTGAATCAGGAATAGCACAACATAAAGGAAGGGGGAAAAGTAAAAAATAAAAACAAAAACAAAGCAAAATGAAAATAAATGTCAGTCACTTTGAGGAACTATACTTACGTACATGATGTTATGAGAATCTGGCAGGGCCTAGAAGCAGGCCAAACAGGAAGTTCATTTATCCAACCGAAGAGGGTCATGTTCATTGCTTCCGGTTTTGAGGATAGGATATTGTAGGGGACTTGATATGATCAGTAATGCTTGTCTGCCTTACACAGACCTTAGCCAGGGATCAGCCTAATCTTGAAGGATCATTCAAATAATTTTGGCAATTATTATAAGGACTTAGAACTGACTGCACCCAGTGTTCAGTGATTCTTGCTTTCTGTTTTGTAACTGTTTAAATTTAAGAGCTCATTTAGGCTGACTCCAATCTCTTGGCACTTGGAAACTAGTTTTCTCAGGTTATCAGTTTTACCTCCTTCTGATGCTTCAAACAAGAGTTGCTGTAAAAGACAGGGAAGCATAGAAGTAAGACTTAGCTAGATTTTGAGCATTACCACATCAATGGATATGGCACATGCAGAAAATTTATAGGAAAACTTCAAGATGAAATAAAAGATAAAAAGCATTACATCTTTCCACAGTGATGCACAAAGAGGTAACTTCTGTAAGGCTCTCTGATATAAACGGTGGACCTATAAGATAGATATATATACAATTGCATCAGGAAATGTGGTGAAAAGCCCCTTCATAATCCTAACCATCTGAATGGTACTTCATAATATAGTAACATTCAAGACAAAATGGTTATATTGGGTTTTGGAGTTTCCAAACGTGTGGAGTTCTTAGGATGTTAACCTTTATACTTTAATCCTTTTAAATTGAGACATCAACAAAAAGGGCAGAATAACTACTTAAAAAAAAAAAAAAAAGCAACCCATCTGATAATCATGGCTTACCTCTCTTTGTCCCTTTAGAACAATCTCAGCAGCAATGGCTCTAAGAAAAAAAAAAGGAATATAGAAAAGGGAAAAAAAAATTTATATATCTTTGAACAAAATGAAATACTACCACTGGCAGAATACTGACTGTGGGAATCTGAGAACAAAACTTCCTGAAAGTAACAGGCTAAACTTCCAAGGAGGGTAACCTATAGTGAAAAGAAAAATTCAACAATTTTTATCAACTTTACAATAATAAAGCAGACCAGTGTTCTGAACATAAATTAAGGTTCATGAAAAATACTAATAATCACTAGTAAAAAAAAAAATACTTAGCACTAACACCTATAAAAGAAAGAAGATATCCAATTATAACAGGGGGAAAACCCTGCATTTCAAAAGAGATCACTCTTAAAATGTGTTTAACAGATTTGTTTGATAACAGTATTGTTATCCATATGTCTCCTTCAAGGAAAATTAATCTAAATTAGAGATCTCTCCGGGTGGAGAAACAGATGTCATTTCAGATTTACCTGTCTGGAGCAAACCTTATAAATAAAAGCAATTGCTATAAGAACATGTACAAGATTGCTGCATTACATTTTCCAGGTGGCCAGGCATGTTGGGATATTATATGTAAACATCTTGGCTTGAAGCTTCAGAATCTGAACATTGCTTTCTTCCCATTCATGTTGAAGGAGCCTGTAAAGTACATTCAGGGAAATGAACAAAAGCATTGCAAGTATGAGGAACCTCAAATGTGCTCTATGAGCAGAATGTTTGATTAGTTATAATTTTTGATCCATTAAAGTCCATTAAGGCTATTCAGCAAGTATTTGTAGAAAGCCTCTTATTAAAATTACCCTGGGAAAGAAACATGCAAACTAGCAAAAGGTCCAGTCAAGGTCCATACCATCTTCAACAAACTAATACATATTCCTACAGGATACCAAAGCACCTCTCCAAATTAACACTCTACATGCCCCTCCTTTAAGCCCCAAGTCTTCTAAAATAATGAATTGATATATTAATATGATTTTTTGGTATTTTTCTTTCTGTACTAAACAGAATATACTTAATTTCCTTGAGCTAAAATGTAATAAGTATACTGACTAATTATTAAGTTCTCTATTCTGAAAGAAATAGGACAGGAATGACTATAAGGAAATAAGAATGATCAAAAATGGAGCTTCACCAACAAAACCAACAATTAAACTACCTATGTTCCAAAATACCCACCATTACAGAAACTAGTCAACTACCACTACATTTTCTATTTCACGTTTTACCAAAAGTGATGATTTATAATACAAATTTCTGTAATTAACTTTGGTAGATTAGCATGCTTACTGAGAATTTTTATTACAAAACACTGCAGTGTTATTTTGTTATTCTTGTCATAGTCTTAGCTTTTGAATTTTTTTCAATCTCTTACATCATTTTCCCACATACATGCTAAGCGGAATGTAAACATAAAGGAATATTTGATAACTACTTTAGGCACCTTGTGTGAGTGCATGTTCAGTCGCTAAGTCGTGTCCGACTCTTTGTGACCCCATGGACTGTAGCCCGCCAGGCTCCTCTGTCCATGGGATTTTCCAGGCAAGAATACTGGAGTGAGTTGCCATTTCCTCCTCCAGGGGATCTTCCCAACCCAGGGATAGAACCCGCTTCTCCTGTGTCTCCTGCATCGGCAGACGGATTCTTTCCCACTGAGCCACCTGAGAAGTCCTTAGGCACCGTGTAGCCCGTAAAACAAGCTTAGAAGCGTAAGACACAACTGCTGCAGTGGAAATGATGGCACAAGTAGAAGCCAGAGCAGCAGTGCGCAGGGCACCTTTTTACATCAACTGTTCACGGTTCAAATGGACTTTATTCTATGAGAGCAGAAGAACTACAAACAAATGCTCTCAAAAAAAATCTAACTGAATGTATGAAATCCCTGGATGAGTGTTTCTCCAACGTCATTAGAGAGCTCTAACTCAGGAAACTGCATTTTAAATGAGTATCCCAGGAGATTCTGATGCATGCTAATATTTAAGAATGACTGACCTAAATGAAGTTATAGTAACTAAAATATATATGGATGACTGCTTTTCTCTTTCACTCTTGTCCCCTTATAATCTGCAGGTTTTTTTTTTCCCCACAAGGAAATAATCTATTTTTTCTTTAGAATTTGGCTCAGAACATTAACATAAAAATATTTACATTAAAATAAATTAAAATGTGATCACTTTAGCTAGTTGTAATAATTATGTTGAAATATATTAGCTTTTCCATGAATTTAATAAAAACTGAGATCTGGTTTTATAGATTCAGTACCATTCTTCCAAATATTTGGTATGAAACTTGATAGCAATGCAACTGTCTGGTATAGACAGTGGTTGTAGATTTCACCAAGGAACAACGGATGCCCCTTCACAGTACACTGACTGGCCCCAGACACTGGTGGCCAAGCCAACAAGCTTCCTTCCCAGGAATCAACGTGGAATGTTTCAACCAGGACCTGGAGATTATTTCAGAGCTGACAGAGTTCTAGGAATCAGCCAACCTCTTTTCACATTAACCCACCAGGAAGAAAAGAATTCAAATACAATAAACTTGATTCCTTCATATGTGAACAAGTGAAATAATATGTTGTAGAAACCTTCAAGTTTTCCTAAAATAATAAATCTTAAAAACATATGCTAATTTTTAGATTGTCTAAAAGCACCCATAAAAACCTGTCACTAGACGAAATACTATATTGGCAAAATTTCCACAGCATACAAGAATATTTTATTAAATTCACCACTGAGACAGTGTCAAGGATAAAGCAATTCATTTGCTACTGAGATACTGTGAAAGCTTTCAGTAGCCTGGAATAAATCAGAATATATTTGCACTCTGGAAGATTTTGATATGAATAGAGCTTGTGTAGCTTAGCAGAAAAAGCAGAGGGACCCGCCTCAAACCTTACCTTTAAGACTCATTAGCCACATGGCTCTAGGCACACCACTTAAGACTTAGTTTGGGGTTCTATAAAATGGGAATTAAAACACCTACCTTACTGGTTGTGAGAATTTAGAATAATGTATATGAAGCACCAAGTTCAGAGCCTGGCACACAGTAGGCACTTAATAAGTGGTGGCTATTAGTATTTCTTCCAGGCTGAAATTGATAGCAAGAACCTTGGCCTCTGTATCTTGACACCAGTACAAACGTGGAATCGTATTTAGCCAGAATCCAGATTCACAGATGTGGGCTCTGGGCAAAAGTGAAGTCGCTCAGTCGTGTCTGACTCTATGGGACCCCACGGACCGTAGCCTACCAGGCTCCTCCGTCCATGGGATTTTCCAGGCAAGAATACTGGAGTGGGTTGCCATTTCCTTCTCCATAATCTGCAGTTTTCTGAAGTGACCAGATTTTTACAATCACTTTTACATGAAAAACTACATATTGCTTAACAGCTCTGAAATTAAAGTGGAATGAGGAAATAGTGAAAGAACCGACTATTCTTAGTAAGTTTTCAAGAATCATTTTATATGAAGGGCCAATACAACTGAACTGAGAATTTGATTTTTCCTTACCTCAGTGCAAGTCCAGAATTAGTTGGCATAATTGAGCAAAACCGTTCCAAGGTTTTGGAATGCTGGGTCTTTGGAACACAGCTCAAATAAAAGAAAATAACCTGTAAAGGTTGAGGGGGGAAAGGAATGCAACAAAATGTGAAATCCAATTACCTATGTGTTTTTATGAGAAAACTAAAATGGTCTTTAAGACATGAATGTATAAATTATAATAATGTATGATGCTGTGAGTTACAGTTCCTATCATTAATTATATTAGTGACTTTCTGAGTTGGAATTAGGAAACATGATCCAGTGATGACAGCCATGGACTGAGAACACTGACAAGAAGCCTGGAATCCGGGTTTTTATCCCTGAGTCTACCTTTACTTGCTGTGTATATCTGGGCAAGTCATAGGGCTAATAATACCTGCCACATCTTGCTCATGGAATGCCTGTGTATAAATGACTTAATGTCCACAAAGTGGTTTGAGATCCTGGGATAAAGAATGGCATAGAAGTACAAAGCATAGTAATTGGTTATCCTGATTAGCAACAAAACCAACCCACCAAAAAAATAAATATAACACAGAGATGTTTTAGTCTACACTGAGCTTTTAGCTTACACTGCACTGAATGATGGGGGTCTCTGAAAATAAAACAATTTTAAAACAACACTTTGCTTCACTGCCTATAAGATGATGACCTTATAAATATACCAATATTCAGATTCTATTTTTAAAATTCCAAATGTCATCTGATTTCAGCTTTCTTATGTCCCATGTATGCCTATATTTGCTTGACAAAATATTGATAAAAAAGGCAGCTACAACATGTAAGGACATTATTATTAATTTTAAAGTTACGGAGTTTTTCATTCAGTAAAATTTCCAATTACTCAAGAAAAATATTACTGATATTATTACAATTACTTCTTTTGATCTCTTTTTTAATATGTATTAAACCTTAATATCGCTTCACTTGTGCTTCAATGTTAAATTTGCTTAAGTAGAACATAATTAATATGGCACATTTATCTTAACTGAACTTTAAAGGTCTGTTTTGAGACTTTGAAGAGATAAATAGAAAACAAGGTCAAGAATAATAGTAAATGCTAGCAAAGTGGTCCTAAGAAAAGCTCTCCTGATATTAAACAGCAGTTTTGCTATCATTTAAGTACCCTTCTTTTGTACAAATATCCAAAGAAAAAAAGTTTTAAGCTCTTACCCTATTATGAAATTCATAGTTGGACCAATAATCAGCACTGCTAAAAGGAATAGGGTATCGGGCAGGGACTGTAACCAAACATCTATTCACTAAATCAGTAAAAAATTTGAATTCTTGGACTTTGTTTCTGGATCCAGCAGCTCTATTATTGGCAAAGACAAGATAACTGCCAAAAGAAAAATATTATAATTTAGAATAATTAAGCCAGTAATTCTCTAACAAGAAACCCAACCAATTTCCCTTATTTCAAATCCCATTCTTATTAAGAGGAACTAAACTTACTCCATCCAAATCTTCTGCACTATATCAGATCTCATGGCCACCCCTAATGCTGCCTCATATGCCTCCACTGTCTCTTTAATACTTGATTGAAGAGGATGAGAAAGACTGTTTGAAAAATGAAGGAAAACATTGTATGTCTACAGCTCAATTCAATTAGATAAAGGAATGACAAAGTATAAACACTACAGATATTATTACAATGGAATCCTTCTTTTGATCTTCTTTAATAATGAATAAACCTTAGCATCCCTTCAATTCTGCTTCAATGATTTTAACAACAGGTTAATTTTAATATAGTGTAATTCAGTAGTAAATAACAAGTGCAAGCCTCGTATGTATCATTTCTCTCCACAGTAGATGTCTCACCAGTATATCAGCCACAAATAAGGAACTTGGTGGTTAAACATTTCATCATCAAAATTTCCTTTACATAAACAGGCTGGAATGTCAAGTGGTCCTGGAATATTCAGGAGATACCTAAGGGAAAAAAATCATACTCTTTAAAATTATGCCTATGTACATATGGATTATTAATACTTTTTAAAAAGTCCTCAGTTTCAACTAAAATTTCCTTGAAATATTTTTATAACATAATGAGACTTTATTTTCGGGTGTATACCATATCATTCTGGTCACATCTCTAGCATCATATATTTATTATCTTCCACCTACTTAAATGGGATTCCCTTGTAGCTCAGTCGATAAAGAATCTCCCTGTAATGCAGGAGACCCACGTTCAATTCCTGGATCAGGAAGAACCTCTCTGGAGAAGGAAATGGCAACCCGGCCCAGTATTCTTGCCTGGGAAATCCCATGGACAGAGGAGTCTGGTGGGCTGCAGTCCATGGGGTAATAAGAGTTGAACACGACTCAGTGACTAAACCACCACCACCATTTACTGAAATAATTCTTCTAAAACAAATTTAAAAAATTTTTTAGCTCAAATTAAACCAACCACCATGATCATCTAATGAAATCTCATTAAAAATAGAGAACAAATGAGACTACCAAGTATCTACAATTTTTCCACAAAATCTGTACATTCTTGTAAAGAAAAAATTCGAGTTACAAAACTTCATATCTGAAAGCTGTTTCCCCCTCACATAACATACATACAAATACCACTATACTTAATTTTAGACATATCAAAGTGTATTCTATAACATACTGGCCCATAAGGCACTTGTCAAAAAGAGGTCTATGATCAAATAAGACTTGAGAAATACTGCAAAATAAAGTCTGCTCTTAAAAAGCCACAATACTAAAGGATACTAAAAACTATCTTTTTGACTTTGCTAATTCAGGTTTCCCCAATATATTTGAATCTGTGTGTATAACACTACCAGCATCTTCAGGAACAATGTTTTTAAAGGAAATACACTGATTTCAACAAGAACAATCAACTGGATTTAAAAATTTATTTCAAGGGACTACGTTTTAATGTATTAGAGAGGCTGTATGGCGTTTGGGGTGGGGAAGATTGAGTGGGGAGCCATAAGACAGGGAAAAAAAGGTAAACCTAGAAGTTATCATCCCAGCTTGGACATAACTANTAATAAAAATAAATGAAAAAAAAATAAATAAAATCACGATGTCAATAAACTGGCAACCATCAGAGGACAGAAGAAAAGACTCAAGTCTGGTAAAGAATAGTGACCCCAAACTTTTTTTTGTCAAATTTCAAAACCTATGGCAGGTAAACCACTGACTTAACAAAATGTGGGTTCTTTTTGAAAATACATTTTTATATAACATTACGATACTGAGAGGCAGGATGCAGAAGGGGTACCTAAGAAAAGAAAACTGCATGCAAGCATTAGACTTGCACATATAATTCTAAGACTTTACCTTTGCTCAGTATTTTCTATAAGAATATTTTTTAGGAGATATTCAGCTTAGACCTTCCTTCTCTCAGCTCTTTCTAACATAAAATAATAAAGTTCTATCATGATAAATATTTTCCTTTCAATGCTATTTTACTTAGGATCAGCAAACTACATCTATTTTCATAAATAAACTTCTATTGGAACATAGCCATGCCCATTCATTTATATACTGTCTATGGCTGCTTTCCTGTTATAAAAGCAAGGTTGACTAGTAGTGACAGGCCATATGGCTTGCAAGTCTAAAATATTTACTATCTGGCCCTTAAGTAAAAAAGTCTGCCCGATCCCTACTGAGAGATGAGGAGGAAGAATAAAAGAGAACTTTTTAAAAGCCTCCAAAAACCCCACTCCTTATGATGTGCTATGGTCTCTTATTGTTAGAACAAGAACTCACAGGGAAAACAAATAAAGGTAGTAAATAAAGAATTCTCGATAAGCTACTGAGTGGTAGTTGAAAAGAAAATTCGCTAAAGTCAGAAGTTGAAGCAGTCCTCTTCAGAATTTTTTTTCAAAAAGGCATATTATTTAGATTCACTTTAAGTCACCAATCCAATAATTTGAAATTTATTTTTCCATAAATCACTGAGATTATCTCAGGATAGTTTGTTGATATAGTATTAAGTGCTAAAGTTAACAATGACAATAATTAAAAGCAGAATGGATCACCATGGTGTTAATATAAAACTTCCTTTATAAGTGTTCTTAATACAGAGTATAAAGCATTTTACATTTTGTGTCCATTTTTACTAAATTTTATTGCTCTTATAACAGATCTATAAGATGGTATTCAAGTATCTTAAAAAAAAAAAAAAAAATCAAGTCTAAAATATAATCAATCCACCAAAAACTGGTAGTCTTTCCACTAAGCTACACCATTTCTCAGTCTTCTACAAACTTACCGAAACAGATCCAAGTTACTATACTTCTCAAACCCAGGTTTAAAGAAGGATGCAATAAACTTCCGCAAAAATGGAAGAAGATTATCTCCTCGATTCTATTTTTAAAAGAGGGAGGAGAGATATACATTAGGCTAATTAATTAATTAAAATCTTTCAAGGGAGGAAAAGGCCCACCGTCAACATCACTCCCAAAATAATGAGTAGATTAGGTTTTTTGAGTAGGTGGAGGCAGAGATGACTTGTATTTTGATCTCCAGACTGAACTAACCAATAAACAGCCTAACATTCAATATACCACAAGCAAATTCATTCACCAATTTCACCAATTAGCCATTAAGCTCTATTACATGTTTGGCTCTGTGCTAGGTGATGAGTAGGGGAGCTCCCTTCCCTCTAGGAGTTCTTAGTATAGTATATAAAGCAGCCATAAGCAAATTTACAATGTGATACAATGGCTGAACTATGGATGGGGTGTTCTGTAATAAAGAGAAGGAATACCTAACACAGTTTGTAAAGGGCAGACAATCAGTAAAAAACATCCTGGAGAACCTGATGCCTGAAACATCTTAAAGGACAAATGAATGTGAAACAAAAACATCATATTTAAGAATTATGAAAAACGAAGAATTTTTTTCTTTTCTTTTTTTTTTACCTGTAAGATGAAGAATTTGCATGTATGATAAAAAACCTCTGCATTCTGAGGATTTTTTTCAAATGCAGTAAGCCACACTGCCCTGGCTTTGTCAAGCTGATTCATTTTCAAATATAAAGCAGCAAGGGATTCCAACAACTGGCAGTTCATGGGACATGATTCCAATAAACATCTACAAAGCTCCACTGCAGCCTCATACCTTCACAAGAAAAATACACATCTTAACACATGAAAAGTTGATTTTTAATATGAGCTTAACTGCTTGTCAATTAAGTTTTACCTCTCAAGAAGCTGGTGCAGAACAATCATGTTTGTGTAAAGTGGGACACAGGTCTCTACTCTTTCCTCAACAGTAAGGCTCTCATCTGTGCAAGCTTTCACCGCATCTACCCAAAAACATCACAAAAACATGAATCAAATACTAAATGAATTTTTCTTCTTTTGTTTGACCATATCTTATTCACCTTTATTAAGCTCCTGGCTTTCACGTAAAGGAGATATTTCAGCTTATCTCCCAAACTCCTAAAACTGATCTCTTATCCTCACTTTCCTGTTAAGAATAAAACATCCATTATTAGCTCTTGCATCTAAATATATATCTATGCATTTATACTAGATTCCTGAAAAATTATATCAAGAAAATTAAAGAATGAATTATCTTTTCATCTTTCTCTCACCTGCTTCAAGAGGCCTTGCTCTGCTAATGTACAGTCATTTAAACATAGCCCCCTAAACTTGACTTTTTTTTTCCAGTTTTCTGTCATGGTTAACACTTTCCCTATCTTTTTATTTTTAAACGTCTTTTATTTTTTTTAATTATGAAAGTTTGGTAATACATTTGCAGGACAATTGGAAAATACAGAACAGAGTTACATATAGTTCTATATACTACAATTTTTTAAGTAATTAAGATTTTTAGTAGGAGTTTCAATATCAAACTCTCAAAAATTAATAGAATGAATATAAAGGCAAATAGAAGGATACAGCAGACCTGAAAAGCACTATGAGCCAATTCAGCATAATTAAGATTCATACAATTCTTTACTCTTTCAGAACACTTTTCCCTTTATGAAGAGTCCTTTACTTGATCTGCTTCTTAGAGAATAGTCCTCCATTGTTTCACTTTGCACAACTGTCTCCATTTCCTTCTTGCCCAATAGTGACATGACTTCTCAGATTTGCTAAGTTAAACTTAGCAGATTTGCTAAACTAAACTTCTCAGATTTGCTAAGTGAAAGCCACTCTGAAATAGCACTTGTGAAGTTAGCTTGTAAGTATCCTATCTAAATAAATCTTTATATTAGCATTTGATAATGTTCTTCTTCTTCTTAATTTCTGCTGGCTTCTGCTTCTAAGAGATTGTATTTTTTCTTGGTCTCATTCAGTGACTTAATTCTCTCTTTTATCCCTTACTGCTGTATTTTTAAATCTCCATTTCCTTGAAGAAAGTATCTTATAGCTTCAACTACTGAATAACTTAGTGTGGGAGCACATTAAAAATTGCAAAATACTACATAACACAATAATTTCTGTGTTGGTAACTTTCAAATCCATTTTTCTCCCTAACTGTCCAATGAAGGTACACTTCCTAGTTTCCTGCTAGCAACAAGGGTTTCTACTTTGGTGACCAATTATCATTAACACTCTTACCAGCAGTCTTTCCAATTCACCAGTTTTCTATTAGCATACTTTCCTTTTCCTGGGCTCAAAACCCTGAAATCATCTTTGACTATTTTTTCTCTTCTTCCCTGACATTTCATCTGTCTCTTAGACATCTCCAATAAATACTCTTTCCCAGGTTACTTTCTTTAATGCCTCAGTTATGGCCACTGGCTTCTGGTTGGTTTTCCTACCTTTGGTATCATTTCTCTCCAGCACATTCTTTCTTTCTTAAAGATTCTCTATTGCTATCAAACCTACCACACAAAGTTCTTGAAAACCTAGTATCACTCCACTTATCTCGTTTAATTGCTACCGTTCTTTATCACAAAAGTCTCCCTTTGATTGCAGAAGGAAATGGCAAGCCACTCCAGTATTCTTGCCTAGGAAATACCATGGACAGAGGGACCCTGGCAGGCTGAAGTCCATGGGATTTACAAAAGAGCCAGACACGACTTAGCAACTAAACACCACAACTCATTTTGATGAGGACTTCCTTCTTCTAATTTCTTTTTAAATACCTTGCACCAATTCTTATCTACTTGTTGCTTTTTGTTTACTTACTCCCCCTAATAGGAATGTCCTTCTTTGACTTTCTTCTTCCCTAGTTTATTCAATGAACATTTACTAAGCACTCAGTATGCTGCAGAGACCCTTGAGAAACAGAAATAGAACAGAGTCCCAGCTTCAAGAACGAGCTTCACTATGTCAGTCACATCGTATCGAGCTTCAAAGTGCAGCTCCAAGTCCTAAGTGTTCTAAGAAGACACACTTGGTCGTGCCAACCTGCAATAACCTCTTCCCTTTAGGTTTATGGCCTGTACCATGTAATTCTCTAAATCACAGATCCCAGTCTCTTCTCTAAGCACCGAATTTAGACTATATGCTAAGACAGTTATACTTCTCACATGTTGCTTGATGTTGTATGTATAGATTTTATCTTCTGACTAGGCTATATACTTTTTATTAGAAGGGAACAGGCTTTATATCTTATTATTTCAAAGCAGGTACCTTGGTTAGTACAGAGAGGAATCAAACCCAACTGACTGAGGGAGAAAATACTAACTACTTGAAAAAATAAGGTATTATCTTTTAACTTTCACATTGATAGATTGCTTTACAAAATTTACCTGGTTCTGTGACTCAATCAACTCATTAAACCTATGTAAACATGCTGTATTATTTACATGCTTAGCTGAAACCCTTTGCCATAATCAGAAAACCTATGCAATGTAGTACAGTTCCTGGTTTTCACACATGACCGTGCTCACCTTATCTGATTTAATCTTTAAAGCATTTATATAATAAAACTACAGGGGCTTCCCTGGTGGTCCAGTGATTAAGAATCTGCCTTGCAATGCAAGGGACACCAGTTTAACCCCTGGTTCAGGAAGATGCTACATGCAGCAGGAGCAACTAAGCCCATGAAGCCCGCACACCTCAAGAAAGAGCAGCCCCCACTCACTGCAAGTAGAGAAAAGCCTGCGTGCAGCAACAAAGACCCACCACAACCAAAAATAAACATAAATAGATCTTTTAAAAAAATACATAAAACTACAATTTGTAATACATAAATTTGTTTCACTTTATTATGAAGAATAATAATAAGCAATAAGCTGATGTTCTAAATAATTTATAAACATTTATATTTACCTTCAAATACTGCTAACAACATGTCAGGATTAGTCTTTACATCTTGAACTGCTTGCCACGGCATTACAAATGGTTCTATGTTAACAATTCTTGAAGGATTGGCATTAGATGGATCATAAAATTTTGAAGGGAGAATGTTGAATTCAATAAGATGTATGTAGGCCAGCCATGCCAAACATCGATCACTTGTTTTAAGGTATTCAGCTACTATTCCATCATTAGCCAATTTCAATGCATTCTAGGTAAAATGGAAAAATAATCTGAAGATATTTTTTAAAATATTCCTAATAAGATTCAACTACAAAGGCAAAGAAGATTAGAAGTGTTTTATTTCTTTGGCATGATTCTTAAACAGCTAAGTCCAACTTCTGATAGTCACCAATTTTTTAAATGAAAAAACTCTTTAGAGAGATCAGTAACAGATTAACATAATTTTCACTATACTAAGGTTTATGACATAATTAATGAAAAGGTTAAATTTATTTGTATATTTAAAGTGTCTTAATATTCAAAATCTAGTCAGAATAAAAATGACAAACAAAAAACCCCACCACACCCATATAGAAGATTTTCACTATGGACTAATCCCCTAATGATGTGAATCCCTGGAATATTGAAGTTTATTCTGGTGGATACTCAACAAGTATTCTTTTCATTTAAATCTCATAAATATTCTAAAGAGTGTTCTAAAGATTTTTATCCCTACTAAATAAGCAAAGGAGGAAACAGTCACAAACTTGCCCAAATTCACACAACTTACTAAAAAGTGGCAAAGATTCAAATCTAAAGCCTCATCATTAAACAATGCTAGCTCTACTGTTTTAAACCTTTAAAAAATTCTCTACAGAATGTCATTAAATGCTGTAATAAATGCTTACCTGTAAAATTGCAAGTGCGCTCTGGCATCTTCCAGTAAATATGTGCAGCTGAACTCTAAACAAAAGAGCCTCTAAAAGTTGAAAGGACAGAGTATCTGATGCTTCCTTCTTGGCTGCTCCCATGAGAAATTCCACCATTCTCTCACATACGTAATCTTTTTCTTCAAAGGTGCTTTCCAGGTGCAGAAACTGTCCAAACGGATTTCATATGATTACTCCTGCTTCACAAGAATAATCTAATACTACAGATTTTTCACATTTTACTAAGAAATCGTAATATATTAAAAATTCAATTTCTGCAAAAAGGATAATTACAAATCTGTATAAACCCATCTCCCAGTACTAAGTGGATACTGGGATCAGGTAACAACTGAAACAAGAGGGATACTGTTGGAATTATCACTGAAGCCATTTCACCTTTGACTAAATCAATAGATAAATGGCAGCAAGACCACAACAGATCTTCAAAAGCTCATGTGCTTATGACCACATACAATTTGCACCACTCAGGTGTGTGACTGTATAAAAATTTCGAGAATAAAATTCATATAAGAAATATGTGACAAAATAACTGCAAGAATTAAGAAGTCCTTTAAAGACCAAACAACTTCAGGAAAAACATTACACACTATAACTTGAGTTGATCAACAGCGTTAATTTTGATATAAAGCTTCAGGTTAAAAATCAAGCATTTTTCACTGTCTTAATCTATTCAGTGAGTTAGGAGAATAAGAAAGCGTTATGTTCATTCATTAAGGGATATCATGTTATCCAAATCTATCTGTTCCAAATTTCAGTTAGCAAGTAAATGATAGATCTGACAGCCACAGGGTTTATATGAAAGTTTATCTGAATCTAATAATTCCTGAGTTCAGCCAGTAAAACTTAACATACCAATGAATATTTAGAAGTGGATTAATTATAATTTTAAGCATAGGTAGGCAACATTCCATTTTCTCAGAGAATGAGGAAAAACTTTTTCATCAAATCTTTTTAATTTGGCAAGGTTCAATATTAGTATGATTTACAGATTATTTTCATAAGTAATGAGAACATAATAAAAAGACCAAAATGTTTTCTGGCCTTTATGAATATGTTAAAAAAAAAAAACTAAAGTTTTTAAAAATTATTTTCAGGTACTTAGCAAAAATTCACTTAATGTGCCCAAAATAAAATTGCTTTATGAATAGGTAAGAATGAAATGCTTTAAAATGTTTATCTTTTTTCATTACCAATAAAGTAAACAACAACAAAAAAACACCTCTTCACTAAATACTGTCTTCTTTTTTAGTTTAACTTAATCTGGACCCAGAGAAGTGGTTTTAAGGTTACTGGACAGTGAAAGTAAGCTTATTATTATATCTGTATGCAGACAAAACATATAATCTATGAAGTTACACATCAATATTTAAGATGGCCTGAAGAATTATTTGATAATGCACACACACACACAACTTTATTGTTTCTACTCACAGTCCAAAAGCTTTGATAATCAGGAGCATATTCAACAGCTGTTTCACACATTTCCTGCACCTCCTCCTTGGTTCCTCTTTTTGAGAACAATCTGAGATAATGACACCAAATTTCTGGATTGTCTTTGTTGTTTTCCAAAGCTCGAGCCAGAACATTTAAAGCAGAATCCAAGGACTCTGAACACAGCCTACGTATTTGAAAGAAAAAGCAGGAGCATTTTTTTGAATGCTTGAAAATACTTTAAAAAAAATCAGTCTAGTCTAATAAGTCAACTTTTAAATTCCATTTTCTTTTAGAACCTACCAAGAAGCTAGAATCCCCTATGATAAAGAGAAGTAGATTAAAATTTTATATCACATTTGTCCAAAAAATGTCCTAATTTTCCCATAAAGCCAACAATTCCTTTTTAAGTGCATGTTCAATGTGCATTTACCAGATAAAAATATGGTGTTGTAAAACTACTAGATCATCAACTTCAAATGTGCTTTCTGTCCATACTCAGCAATATCTCATGATTTACAGTGGTTCTCAAGGCCAGCTACTACCAGCAAAAAGTAATCAAGGCTTTCAATGTAAGTTGAAAGTTCTTTTCAACAGTCAAGGGTTTGCTGTCTCTTGGAGAAGAAAATTGTCTCTCATGATCCTATTCATAAAATAATGTAGTTTTTGGGTCTTCATTCAGTAAATAAGTCAGAAAACAAAACACTTTTAACTCATCCCATTAACATGAAAATGACACACAGAGCAAGTTAAAAAGCACCATATTCAGGCATGTGTGATGTACTAGCACTTTGTAGTGCTACCTTAAAAAAGTTTTTATACCAAGTTTTTAGATAAAGCCACCTTTAAAATCTAGGGCTTCCCTGGTAGCTCAGAGGTTAAAGCATCTGCCTGCAATGCAGGAGACCTGGGTTCGATCCCTGGGTCGGGAAGATCCCCTGGAAAAGGAAATGGCAACCCACTCCAGTATTCTTGCCTGGAGAATCCCATAGACGGAGGAACCTGGTGGGCTACATTAGTCCATAGGTCGCAGAGTCGGACATGACTGAGCGACTTCACTTTCACTTTAGGTTGCTTCCACATCTTGGCAATAAGCAGCCTGGTGGGCTATAATCCACAGTGTTGCAAAGAGTCGGAAAAATAAACCTATTATAATTCCAAAATTATAGCAATAAATATTACTCCTGGTCATAAAAGATTATTTCTGCAAACCTATCAATAAGTAGGAGTCAGAAACATAATTATGTAATAGGAGTTGTCACTTTTGAAATAAATTAATATTTATCTTATGTGAATATACATAATGTAACACTAACAGAGAAAAGTCAGTCCACCAGAATTTAGACGTTCTCAGACAACCTTTAAATCTCTAAATGATAATTAACATGAAATTTAACCTGTTACACTGTGACTTTATCAAAATTTTATTAAGAGACCATGACTACCTGACTTATTAAAAAATGCAATGATTAATTCTTGGACCGCTCAGAATTTACTGTTTTAACTGATACTACTTTGAAGTAGCCTACTTAAGTTAAAGATTGTAGCTAAATTATTACCCACACACTGAGCCATGCACATAACTCAAGATGTAATCTTAAACTTTTTCTAACAGCTTTTAAACAATTAAGTACTTTTCGCTTTGTCAAAAAACAAAGGCTCCATTGATACTAGGAGGGAAACCTGATTACCAGAGATGAAATAAACCTCAAACATAAAAATATAAAAGTGCAACAGCTTACACAAAGATTAAAAGGAGACCTACCCCTCATTTTGGTTCAAGTACTTGTATGCAAGCTTGAGCCAAAGTTGTACATGAGAAGGATTTTCAAGCACACTTGCTTCTAAATTAGCAATGTCATCAGTCTCATTTGTAAAGTATCTGACATCATCCGGAGTGACAACTGTATCCAGAGCTGGAACATTTATTCGGTTCTCTGGCTGGAAGGCTATAAGGAAAAGTAAGTTAGCCTCACAATTTGTCTAATCCACAGACCTAAGGAAAAAAACTAGTTTCATCTCTCAAATAATTTTATCAATAAAAATCTAAAGCTTATAGCTCTAAACCAAATCAGTCATATAGATTATTGTCCAAATCAGGACACTTCTAAGAGTAAAAAGGGGTGTTAGTATAAAAATAACACCAGGACAACAGATACAAAGTAGGACTCTTCTGGGCAAATAAGAAGTATGACCTCCCTACTCTAAGGGTAAATGATACCAACTGATAATTCACATTCATTAAGTTTTAAGAGAAAATTATAATTTATGAAGATGATATATTCCACTACATTTAAATTAGAGGAAAAAGTGTTAATGTAAGTAAGTACATAAGAACACATCTTCTAATCTACAAATAGTACATAATTATGAAAATCTGAGATTGTAATGTAAGATGTGCTTGACAGTAAAGCACTCATTCATACATTACTTTGTTCACTCATTTAATTAATTCATTCTGTGAGCCTACTGCATGTCAGAAAACACAGACTCAAAGATTAAACAAAACAGAATGCCTGTTCTCAAGAAGGACACAGGCCAGGCAGTAGTTCTCAAATGGGAGCAGTCTCCCCACTCAAGTAGGTTTAGCAATATTTAAAGCCTTCACATTTACCAAAGGGTGATCCTTGCATTTACTGAACATGGGTCATGGAACAACATTCCTGCAATATAAGGGGTAGTCTTGCATAAGGAAGAACTATTTGCCTTAAACACCAAGCAGCATCACTGATTTTTAAAAATGAAAAATTTTTAAAGGCTAGTAAATTATACCAAGGGGTTTCCCAGGTGGAGCTAGTGGTAAAGAACCTGCCTGCCAACGCAGGAGATGCAGGAAACACAGGTTCAATCCCTGTGTCAGAAAGATCCCCTGGAGGAGGAAATGGCATCCCACTCCAGTATTCTTGCCTGGAGAATTCCATGGACAGAAGAGCCTGGCAGGCTATAATCCATGGGGTCGCAAAGAGCCAGACACAACTGAACAATTGAGCGTGCATCCACAGATTATATCAAAAGATTAGCAAAGTTTTAGACAAAGAAATGACACCACCATTTAATGATTCTGGATCTTAAATTACTTCTTACCATACTTAATTGGTCCTGTAGACTGTTCCTCATCACTACTGAAATTGTTCTCTGAAATAGGTTTTCTCCAAAACTTTGGCTTCCACTTTCTTTTATCTTTGTAGGTTGTAAATGGAGGTGCTAAAGTAGATAGGAGAAGACTATTATTTAACAGAACTAGTCTTTTACAGTTCTGAAAGATAACCAGTGTTCAAAAAGAGCTAAATTTATTCTATCATGTTACTCAGAAACGATAAATATATTTTTTATATAATGCCAAAAACTTGTTCTCATAAACTATAAGGTCCTTTCGTGTGAGAGAAAGATACATATACTTACTATGGCCTTTACTTTCATTGATATTGCTCACAAGGAGAACAGCCATCTGGTCCATTGACATTCGATCTTTGTTTACTCCAAAAAGTTTCTCAACATATTTTTCTGAAATTAGAGCAATGTTATCTTCATAAAAAGTATAAAAAACACAGATTACAGAGACGAGGCTAATTAAAGAGTATGAAGAAAAGAACAGTTTAAAAATTAAAGGTACTAGTCAAAAACATCTATGGCTTCTAAAGGGCAAGGCCTACATTATCTCAACTAAAACAGCAAACCCTACCATATCACGCACCCCAATTTGGGTTGAAAAAAAAGTAAACAACCTAAACAAGTGAAAATTAAGGTCCTTAATTAGGAATGATTAAACAGATTGTTTTGTTACAATCACTAAGAATTGTGATTATACTGAATTTAACGAATATCAATTTCCTTACTTCCAAAAGACTTGTAGTTTAAGGTTTAATATTTGGCAGTAAATCTGGGGAAAAGCTTAACAACATTTACAAACAATGTCTGGCAGTAATCTACACTTTCTACAATGTCAAACTGCATAAAGTTCTTTTTTACTTCATTGTAGAATTTACCTACAGTCATCTCAACTTCCAATCCCCTCTATTTCTAAAAGGAATAGAGTCTTTTTAAATCATCAGTAAAAGTTCTGCAGCCATGTTAGCACACTCTTTTTAAACTGAAACAGTCAGATGAGCTCCATGAAGTTTCCTACAATGATGGAAATGGGCCACATCTGCACTGTCTTACTGGTAAGCTACTGACCACGACTGAGCTCAAGAGTGGCTGCTAAGCACTTGAAATGTGGTCAGTGACTGAGGAAGTGAATTTGTATTTTAGTAACTACTGTACTGGACAGAGCAGACCTAGATAAGGTGTCACAGATAACTGTACTGAATTTTTATAGCTATTTAAAGATACCAACAACTGAGTATAAAACGTTTAAATTGCCTAAATTCAATTTTCACTTGGGAAACAAGAGGTCTTTAAAACCTGCTGCAGCAGCAATTTCTTCATCAGTGCTTCCTTCTGAACAACCAATCAAAGACAGATTATATGACAGAACATCCTGGAATAGCTGTTTTCGGCTTAGTGTATAGTCTTGTGTATGCTGCCTAAAATAACAACACAGAAAAGATAATCATGTATATATCAAAGCTAAATGACCAAGACTAGCTTTTAAATTATAAAACATTCACAAATATAAACTACTCACCACTGACAATCATCATCATTACATGTTCCTGTTAAATCAAAACGGCAGAAACACTGATCCGGTTCGATCATGTTACTGTATGATACTGAGCTTAGGGGAAGTTTTTCCTTGGTTCGATAGTATGGACTAAATCTAAAAAGAGAGGCACATTACGATGCTCCATAAACAATCCTCAGAAAATTTTAAATTTTTTCATTTTTTTTCTTTCTCAAAGTGTCGATACTTTGAGTTTACTATGTATTTAATTACTTAGTAGTAAAATTAACTCTAGAAAACAACTAGAATATCAAGTCACAAGGACAAACTACTTCTACACTCAGGACATAAAATACCTGAAATAGAAAACAAAGAACAAAAATATCCTAGTGTTTTCAAAGTAGTGTTTTCTTACCACATAATAAAATACTATATAACATTGGCATTTCTTCTACATATTACCAGCCACCCAGAAAACCAAAGAAAAAGTCTATACTACCTGGTAGGTGCTTTGTGATTTTATGATTAAATCATACCAATTTAACAGTTTCACAGATTCTAATAAAACCATACCAATTTAACAGTTACACAGCTTCTAAAGAGTCTCAAAAAAAACTAAACCTGCCAAAGTTAATCATCTGAAAATGTCAAATCAATTTTATGAAAGCTAGCTAATGTATTCCTTAAAGAAACAGTAAAATTAAAAAGCAATATTAAAAATTCACATAAGAATGTTAACTTTTCCTAAAATCCTTAACAGATAGTAATTCAAAATTCTCCACAATTCCATCAGTAGCCAGAAATTAGAATTTGACAAGAATTAATAAACCCAAGTGTGAGTTAACTCTTAGCTCCTGTTAGGTTCAAGTCCTACAACAAAGCACTTAAATCTTTTTATCTCCTAAAATGACGAGCTCATTTTTTCAGTGATTCAACTTTTTTCACTGCCATCAAACATTAAAGATTAAGATATTATTAAGAACAAGGAGCAATCCTGAAACTCAAGCTTACTGAATCTTTCTTCTATACCTGTAAGATTTAAAAACTAGAAGGGGACTATGGTAGGGTCTGAACGGACATGGCTTCACGTCTGTTGTTTTACTCTGTGCTGTCACAAAATCCACATCCACAGAAATCTCCTGCAAAAGAAAATAGCAATTTCAAAAGGCAAATAAGGCTAGGGTGAATTCTAGATTTCATAAAGAATATGAAATGTTCAGTTACCTGACCATGCAAAACCGTGTCTGAAATGCCTGTGGTGGTTTTTAAAATCAGTTGTTTTAAGCTGTCAGCTTTTGAATATAATTTCTGCAATTCACCAATTTTTAACCCTAGAAAAAGTTCTGGTTTTTCTACTGTATTCTTAGTAGGTTTGTTTATACATTCTTTGTTAGGTGTATCAGTGTGCTTAAGGTTAGGTTTAGTAAAAGAATTGGATTCTAAGAAAGATCTTCTTCTTTCTCTGTTTGAACCAGACAGAATCTCATCATCAACATCATTTTCTTCAGTGTCCAGACTTAATTTATCTTGAGTCAGATCATGAAGTGAGGGTTGAGGTAAAGAAAATTCAGGTTCTTCTTCCACAAGTGGAGCAATATTTTGTTGTTCCTTTGCTTTTAGGGCCCTGGCTTCTTTCAGTTTCTGAATTTTCAGGGCATATTCATATTCTAGCTTTTGTAACCGTCTTTTTTCCATAGCAATTAGTTCTGCTGAATGCCTTCTTGGACTTGATATTGGAGAATTGTCCAGTCTCATCATTTTGTTTGGCTGAGGGGAAAATGAAATCAATATTTTATATTGCTATGATTTTATAAACAATTTTTGTTAGGATAATTGTGCTATCCCAACAATGCCAATATTATAAAACTAAGTCAATAACAAGAATAAAAGTTTAACAAAAGCCTCCAACAGATTTGCTTAATTTGTGATATATAAAAAACAAAAAAATTAAAAATAAGCTTCCAAAAGTGTGGATGTCATTTAAAAACAAAGCTTTAATCTTATTCTCTTTGAACATGCAGGGAAACCTTCAATTTTTCATGCATCTCTTATCCCCAAAAGAATTATTAAAACCTTCTCCTTTTCAAACATAAAATATTTCTACCAACAACTTACTCCAAGGCGATCTTGTTCCAGTTTACGTTTTCCTATTTCTTTACTAGCCACTGCCTTTGCCCGAGCAAGTTCTTCTCCATACTTCAGAGTCAAAGCTTTCTTAATTGCAACACGTTGTTGTACCCTGTGAATCTGAAATAAAGGGTAAGTCTGAAAATGTAAATCTTAGGAGAGGCAATACCTTCTTAGACATAATAGCTTTAGGGTATTCAACTGAAAATTAAAAATGTGCTAACATTATGCCTCAATGAAGAACAATATATAGGTTATATATTTTGATGGCTTTGGGGGTTTTATTAAAAATTTGGCCCATAAGAATGTATAGTAAACATGAGACTACAATATTTGAATTAAAAAAGAACACTACCTGTTCCTGAAGCTTCTTCAAAAACATTCTGTTGACACTGAGAATTTTCTCTGTTGCCTGAAGCTGCTCTGTAAGTTTTGTAATTTTTGTTTCAGCATTTCGAACAGATTCTTTCTTCTTAGCTTCTTGCTGTACTAGATTCTTCAAAACAGATTCATCTTTCATCAAGAGAATCCTAATTGGGAAATAACAAAATTATTAATGTTTTTCTAAACCAGTAGTGGACTAACATCATCAGAATAAAAAACTTACAAAGTAATAGCTCATTTTTAAAATTATGTTCATGATGCAGAGAGGTAAATATTTAAAAGGGTAAATATTTTCATATTCCTCAATCACATAAGTATTGAGATACACACTGCTAAATTTTATGAAAGCAACTAAGGGTTAATCTTTTCCTGGCTCCACCATTTGGTTTGTGGGATCTTAGTTCCACATCCACAGCAGGTATTGAACCTGGGCCCTCTGGAATGAAAGCACAGAGTTCTAACCACTGGACAACCAGGAAGTTTACAAGTCTGAGTAATGTGAATTATAGCTGAAAAGCTATCAACAGTAATTTCAACTTAGCCCTAAATAACTCCTAAAAAACCAGGACTTAAAGACATAAAATCCTTATGTTGGTTTCATTTATAATGTTCATTTATAATGTTTATTAAACACACAAATAAACATCTAATAAACATAAACAAGCACATTTAATTAACTTACAACTATGAACTTAAGAAGTATAAATCAGGACAGAAAGACAAACTTATGGATAGAGATTTCCATCTTTTCAACTATTGAATATTATGGCTAAAAAAAAAAAAAAAGCATCTTTCCCAGAAAGATACTATATTTCAAACAGTCACAACAACTGAATGAATCATAAAGACAGAGGATATGTGATAAATATGTGATAAAGAGGATGGGGACTAGAAAGACAATTTTAAAAAATCTTTTCATTTGTTATGAAAGTTATTAAAGAAACAGAAACTAAATAAATTTATTTTAATTTCCTTTAAAATATACATACCATACCATTTCCTTAGAGATTTATGGTCACCACCGTATTTCATCTATAAACCTTAATACATCTTAGTGTTACTGCATATGATATTCTGGATATGTCTTAAGGTTATTGCATATCATAGTTTTTATAATAACACAATATTTGACCATGTGTCTTACTGAACACACTAAGTAATGACTTATTCCAAACAATTAAGTCTACCTTTAACAATAAAAATATGCTTCCAATAAAGGTATTTCTAAAAACGTGCCAGAGGTTTTAAAGAAAATTCCAAAACAAAGAGCTTCATTTTAGCAATGAATAGGCCATTTTGAAGTCTTGGTATTTTTGTTTAAATATTAATACTATTATTTTATGTACTGTAAATGGACAATTCCACAAAATTATAGCCTCTCTAGGTCTACCATGTATGAAAGGATTAGTAATCATAGAGTGTACTTACTATTGACACACAGCACAAAAATACATCCTTCTAATATAGAACATTTTGATACATGCAGTACAACCAGATAATGAGACTCACCTATGTTTTTTAAGCTTTGCTTCTGCATCTGTAACCTGCTTAGTAACCAGTGCTATCCTGCCAATTCCGTCAATTTCTACATCAGAGTTTGCTGGGGATGATGAGCTTGTCTTCAGCTGATCTGATTTGATCAAACGCTGTTTCTCACGACTAAAATAATCAATAAAGGTTGATAAATTATTCCCTGAAAAACTGAAATTACTTTTTAAAGATGTAATCTTTCTCATAAAATAAAGTAAAATTATTAAGTGACTAACACTGTAATAACAATGATGACCAATATGCATGACCCAAGTTGGCATCCAAAGCTGATGGGGCAGTTCTCCTTATAACAGCATTTATCTATTTCTAGGTTGTCTGTATCTCAGTGCATTACGGACTGCATTCAAGTTTATAGATGATCATCTGGCTCCCCCTTCTGTGCAACTTAAAATGCTACTTACTTGGCAATCTCTTCCTTTAACAATCGATACTCAATCTTCTTTTCTTCAGGCAGAGCTTCAGGTGTTCGCATGGGATCATTCTCTTTTTCAGATTTTGGAGGTACTTTTGGTTTTGAAGCTTGCTAGAAAACATTTGAAGTCAACCAGATCAAAAACTTTCATAACCCCAACTTAGATCTATATTTTACATTATCCAGTACACATCTATATATTTAGAAATAAATATCTTGATCATTATTTTCTATTCCTTTAAAAAAAAACAATCCTGGCCTTTAACCACCAATTAACTGTACAATCCACTAAGCAGTCAAGACCTATGGTTTAAAAATAACTGAACTATTTCGTATCTAAACAAATGCTGCAAATACAAATAGGGACAAAAGTTGTACTTAGATCACACACTTCAGTAAAACTATTTTCTGGTAATATAACACAATCACAAACTAATAAATTTCCTTAGTACAGAGAACAATTATCTACACTATGTTACTATTTTGAAAGAAGGATTAGTCTGGAGACAAAAAGGGTTTCTAAATAGTTAAATCTATCTTAATTTATACACACTTCATAATATAAACTCAATGATACAAGTACAAAAAATATATCCATAAATTCAATATATTAAAAAATCTAAACCTCCAAGGTCTAGTTTTCAGGAAAAACAAGCAAATTTTAGTAATTGTCAATAAACCTTTCCATCTCTCATTACTGCACTTAATTACCTCAGCAGTTCGTCTTGCTTCTTTAATCATAGACTCCAATCCACCAAAAACACTATTAGTTGACTTGGACGCCTCTCCATCAGATTCACTATCATCAGAATCATTTAATGTTACGACCACTGATTTATGCTTTGGAAGCTGCAAAGCCAATATATTTGTTATTCTTGACAACAAATGCATCACTATCCTTTTCTTAGCTCTACCACAATTAGCTTCACGACACTGAACAAGTCACTTTACCTGTATGAATTTAAATTCATAAAAATAATAGATTTCAAGCAGTCTGTGGTTCCTTCTGTTTATACTGCATTAATTGACCAACTTTGTCCCATTCCACAGATACACAAAAACATAAGATTCTATATTTTACTGATATACCAAAAACTTAAAATATCTATATACTAAAATGAAATATTCTAGATACTATCACCATCTTCTTCATTAAGTTTTATTTTAACCAACTTTCTATAAAGAAACATAATGCAATCTAGAATAACCTTTTAAAGTCAGAAAAAATGTAACTCCATATTATTACTAATAAAACTTTATGGCTTTCATGTGTATATAGAGGATATACAGAGGATATGTTAACCTAACAGAGGCAAGATTTCAACTTGGCTTTGCTTCATTTATTTTATGCATGCATGCATACTAAGTTGCTTCAGTCATGTCCGACTCTGTGAGACCCCATGGACAGCAGCGCACCAGGCTCCTCTGTCCACGGGATTCTCTAGGCAAGAATACTGGAGTGGATTGCCATTTCCTTCTCCACATTTATTTCAAAGTCATTAGAAAACAAAGTAGAAAGAAACTGTCATTTCAATCTCCTTAACAAACAGTGAAAAACATTATAAATTCTTCCATTATAGTACAGTCATTAACTGCAAAAACATAAGCAAAGATAGGAAAAACAATATATATATATATATAAAATTTGCTGAAACTGACTCTAGAATAGATGAAAAATCTAAAAGGACCAATTTATATAAAACAAAACTTGAGGAAATGGCAAAAGAATACCCCTCAGATGAAAATAATGCTTTCCCAAAAATATTATCATAAATTCTACCAGTTTTCAAGTGAAAACTGCTCCCATTTCACTATTAATAAATAAAAATAAATGTTTGTATATAATAAACTAGAGGCAGGGAACAGGACAGCAAAACTGCATACAAATTTCTCACAAGATATTTAAGTAAGAGTAGGCACTAATTATTTTGTTTTTACCGAGATCACAGTTCGTGGAAGACGAGGTCCTCTGTGAAACTTTGGGTTTTGTATCCTAGGCTGAGACACTGTATTAATACTGACTATGGACAGATTGCTTCTTGGCATAGGCTGTGAATTGTTCAGAACTGGAGGTGAAGGTGGGTCACTATTACTGGATGTTTCCTAAAGAAGGAAGAGACAGATATTAAGCAATTTTAAATGAAATTCCTGTCATCTTTAAAAGTACTGAGCAAATTAGTTAACAGACTTATCCCTACTTTACTGAAAAGCCCAAAAAATCCCAAACTAGCAGAGTAGTCCTACCTAAAACTAAGCTCAACAGCACCACCTAGAGGTTCAGGTACCTAAATTACCTCTGGCTTGAAAGCTCTTTTATTTGCTAGAGATTTAAGTAGCTCTTCTCGAAGCAGCATTTCCTCCTCTTCTTCCTCATCTGCAAAAGGTGGTTTTGGAGGTTGTTCCGGATCTTCAGGTGGAAGAGGTGGCAAAGGCGGTAGAGGAGGTAGAGGTTCAAGAGAAACACACAAGCCTTCCACATACGGCTGGCTCAAAGGCGGTACAGACTAGTTAATTCAAAAAAAAATAAAGGCTCAAAGGCGGTACAGACTAGTTAATTCAAAAAAAATAAAGGCTCAAAGGCGGTACAGACTAGTTAATTCAAAAAAAATAAAGGCTCAAAGGCGGTACAGACTAGTTAATTCAAAAAAAAATAAAGGCTCAAAGGCGGTACAGACTAGTTAATTCAAAAAAAATAAAGGCTCAAAGGCGGTACAGACTAGTTAATTCAAAAAAAATAAAGGCTCAAAGGCGGTACAGACTAGTTAATTCAAAAAAAAATAAAGGCTCAAAGGCGGTACAGACTAGTTAATTCAAAAAAAATAAAGGCTCAAAGGCGGTACAGACTAGTTAATTCAAAAAAAATAAAGGCTCAAAGGCGGTACAGACTAGTTAATTCAAAAAAAAATAAAGGCTCAAAGGCGGTACAGACTAGTTAATTCAAAAAAAATAAAGGCTCAAAGGCGGTACAGACTAGTTAATTCAAAAAAAATAAAGGCTCAAAGGCGGTACAGACTAGTTAATTCAAAAAAAAATAAAGGCTCAAAGGCGGTACAGACTAGTTAATTCAAAAAAAATAAAGGCTCAAAGGCGGTACAGACTAGTTAATTCAAAAAAAATANAACCTAACTGCATGCCAGCTTTTCAAAACAAATTAGAAAAGACACAAGGTAACCAAACTTTCTTAGAAATCATACCAATCCTCACTTACAGAAACCTGAGGTGGTGGAGGCAAAGAAATAGATGGTGCTGGAGAAAAATACCCCAATGAACATTCAGAGAAGAATGGTGGTTGCACTGGTGAAGGAGCTGTTAAAAAAAATTTTTATAGGAGTTTAATAACATATATTCAACAGGAATAAATTAAATTTATATTTTTGAAGACATACAACTACATCTAAGTAAAGTACAAGTGAGATTGTATTAATCTCCAATAAAATACTTAACCTCCATGAGACTACCTCTACCTATTTATAATTGCTCTTATATCACTATAAAGTTAGCCATCCACTTAAGCTGATATTTAGTCCCTTGAAAACTTTTCTATCTTGTTCTACTTTTCACCCACTTGTGGTAAAAGGGAATAAAGCAGGAAAGGCTTTTATTGCTTTTTGGAAAAAAACATACTTTTTAAGAAATAATAAAACAAAAATTTCCCTTGAATCTGCCAAAGTATCATAACCAAAGGAAACAGTGATGCCATGACTCCATCCCTCCCTCAATGTGCAGAAAAGTGAAGCAACGGACTATTTAAACTGGAGAGAAAGCAAACAAGACTAGGAATGAAAAGAATTACCTATGCATTTAATCATTAAAGTATACATTTTTTTTTCAAATTTAGTAATTCTGAAGTAGTTACTGATGCATCTCAGTTAAATTGTTAGCACTTTTTCCTTGGTAGCAGATAAAAATAACTGCTTATTTGACCTTCAGTGGTTTCTTTAGACTCACTGAAATCTGACAGATTTGAAGATTACTCTTGCTACCTCTAAACCATATAACCTTAGGGAAACTTAATATTTCTTCTTTGTCCCAGTTGTCTTTCAAGTCAATGAGTATTAACCACATGACTTATATGGAGCTGATTTCTGACCCAAATGATGCCATTTGATTATATTTTTTTATATTATTTTTTTACAAAATTCTTCTAAAGGGTAAATCATAAAACTATTTATAGAGTAATAATAATGTCAATATTTGAGAACTACAATGAATCATTTCCAAGAACTTAGAAATAATTAAAGGCTGATCAAAGAGAATTATGACATGAAAATACAAGATTATTAAATATGAACCTAAACATTATAACCTGAAAACGAGCTTTTGCTAAACATTACCAAATCATATAGATTCTGCCTTCTCTCTAGACACACTAAAGTGGAATTCTAGTTTCATCTGGTCTCACAATACAACCAGTGGAAGAAAAACACTAACCATATGACCTTGCAAGTAAGTATTCTAGTTTCTAGAACACTAACAGCATTTTGTTGTCTGCCCCATTCTTATCTGTTTTAATTAGTAAGAGGATAGCTTTAATTAGTAAGAGGATAGGTCTCTCACAGTCCATTACTCCTGAAAATCAACTAAAGCAAGTCTCTAACTCTCAGGGATGGCCACATCCTAAAATGTGCACTCTAACAGAGATATAGCCCTAACAATTATAATCAGCTGATCCTAAGGCACCACTAGTATCACTTTCCATCTCTCTGCTCCTACAAAGTACCATCAGCAGAAGGAGAAAAGAAGCCTGAACAAAAGAAAGATCTTTTTTTTTTTTTGACTAAAATGAAGAATGCCTTAGACATAAAGATATTTAAAAATAAAGATTTCTTTGTTCGTTTGTTTTTTAAAGCAGTGTTCTCACCTTTACCACAATATTCACTTCTTAGATCAAACAGTTAACAGCAGAATACTGCCTTTTTTAATTAAAATACCATACAGGAAGAAATACAAGAAAATAAAGGTTAATACTACAGTTTGAGGTTTGCTTTTGAAGTATTTAAACACCAAATAATGTCTTTGGTTGTACAACCTACCAGCAAATTTTACTTTCATTACACATTTCTTGCAATGTTTTGGGTAGCTTCTTGACCATTTTCTACTTAATAATTGTGAATGTACAAATGTTTTAAGTTTTAGCTCATACCTGGAGAATTGGTTTCACTATCTGTATCCATAGCAACTTCTTCATAGTTATCATATTGATAAATGCCGCCTCCACTATCAGTAGCTTGCTTATCTAAGGATCGTCTCAGGTCAGGATCTGAAGACTAATTATACAAGATTTATTTTTAGTTTCACAGCATTTTCTGTTTCAGTCTACTCTTAGGCTCGAAGTTATAAAACAAGTAACAGTAATCTTTTACACAGAACAGTATAAAAAATCATGATGATCCACTTAGAACTATCACATCTGATTTGGGAAATTCAATATACACAATAGGTACATTGTGGCAGACATTTTATAACTGTCAGACAGAAAATGAAGCTAGAAAGTACTACATGTACAGATGAAATCCCCCAGTGAAGTGAGTCACTAAATAATCAGCTATTCCTCTAGAAAGTAAGATGACACCAAGATCAGAAATACTAATGGCCTCTCTGCAAATTAAGAAATCAGAGAAATGAATTCAAGTTTTATGTTATTAAGTCTTATTTAGAATATTGCCTGAATAATCCATTAACATTTCAGTTACGAATAAATAAATGATAACTGAAAACTAAAAACTCTTGGTCATATGCTTATATGCTGTTTTCTTTTTTTTCACTTCTTACAATCTCCACTGAGAGACAGTTTATAAGAAATTAAAACTTACCAAAACCTATCCAAATGAATACAAGTAATATACAATACTTTTCTATAGAAAGATTTCATCAAAGTACTTTTTGGAAGCTCAGAGTATGAATACTTATAAATTCCTTTCTTAAATCTAACCCTTGACTCCCTACAATTAAAAAGCTCTTACTCTTTAATATCCCTCTATTCTTTAATATCAATAATACACTTGCAAGTATAGTCTCAAAGTTCAGAATTCTGAAATTTGTGACTGCTAATAGCACCAGATCAATATTAAATCTCCAGTTTACTTCCTGACATGAGCCATAAAAGGGAACGACTCATCCAGTCATTATCAATGACTTATACATAATAAAGGTTCACAAATGCTTGATAACTGAAGTAGCCACATGCACTAAGGCTATTATGATATGATGATTTAACTTTCTTAAAAACAGTCCAAATCAACTAATTATGATACATTTCTAATTCTACATTACTAAAAATGGAAAATTAAAAGGGAATAGTAATTTTAAGAATAAGTCCTCATTGCAACTCAGGAATGCTTCTTTCTTCTAAATAGAAAAGGACACAAAAGCCAAAGAGAGGCTTTTCTAATCATAATTTTAGTATTATGAAGTATTTCTATTAAGTATTTAATAGAAGTATTTAGTATTAAGAAGTATTTCTTCTATTTCTAGCATCTGTAACTATAAAAACAATTCATTCTCAATTATAACCTACCTTCCCTTCTTCCCAAAGCAATTATTTATCTATAACGAGCTCTATCAAACAAAATAACTTAATACGTTTTCCTAGTTGACTGAATTTATGAGCTAATACAAGGATACTCAAACTTGAGTAATACTTTGATTTTGTATTTTTGAACTTCTTACTTTACTCCTTGATCTCCTCTTTCCACCAACCAATTTCATAAATCGATTGTACTGTTCTTCCTGATTTGAGAGATCTCGAATTTTTCTGATTTCTTCTTCTCTTTTCCTTCTCTCTTCTTCTTCAGCTTGCTTACGCTGATCCTCCTCTTTCTGTCTTTCCTGTTCTTTTTGCTGCTGTAGTTTCTTCCACGCCTTTGTTTGCTGCTTCCTCAATGCTTGTTTAGCTTTAAAAAATATAGAAACATCAGCATCTATTAGAGTTAGAATTTTCAAGATAGAGAAAACAAAGCTTTGATAATTATTTCAATCATTAAGTTCTGTTTATACAGGACTGTCCTTTATTCAGGGCCCTATATAATTTCCCAACTCAAAACTTTCTGAATTAAAATCTAGAAACTATACTGATATAGGAAATCAATTAAAAGAGTTTAATAGAAATGATCACCTGTAGTGCTAACTTTTTTGGCCGAATGTGTTTTTGTACTGGTTTTAACTTTTTGCTGTACAGTTTTCGTCTTAGTCAACTTTTCTTTACTTTCTTTCATCACCTGCTGTTCTTTCTGTTGCCATTTTTTACTGGCTGACTGAAGAGCCAAAAGACGAAGTTGCAGTTCAGATAACTCCTCTTCATCTTCACCAAGCTTCTTTAACAAAAGAAACAGTTGCCATTTAAAACTTCTATTATTTGACTTTAGACATATTACCAAATCAAAGCTGCTATAAGATCAGAATTTAAAGTTTTACGACAAATACTTAAATGGTAAATACAAATAAAATAAGGAAACTGAGTAACTTACCATAGCCCTATACTCTAACTCAGTTCCTATAATACAAACTGAAGATCAGTCTGTAGAGGGTGTATGTATACATGAGAAGGGCTAGAGGGGGAGGGTACAACTGACGACAAAAAAGTTTGAGACTGGCATTTAACTGCTTCCCAAACGAGAGTAGAAATTTGATGGCAGTGAATGCAAGAAGAAATCAACCCAGGGGAGGTAATGACCAAAGAACAAAGTGGTCCCATAATCATGGGTGTTCGCTAGCCTTACAAGTACTACACAGAACAGGCACAATGAAATGTCAAGATTCAAACTTGCAAACTTTTAAAAATATATTTTATAATTCTTCAAATCAGTTTTGAAGGAAAAAATATGTAAAGATTTGCTTATACTTGAGCATTCCATGTTCTAAAGGTACAGACATTTATCTGGTATCAACAATATTTTTAACACCCAAGACTTCTTCAGGGAAGCTAAAATAGGGAAATAGTTTAGGAATAAACGTTTGAAAACTTTTTTCCAATTGAAATAACCTTTATTTTTTCACTATTTTTTTTAGTTAATTTTCAAAATTATCTATTCTGTACATTTTAGCTAAAATGTAACAGAAAATGTCCGGCGACCTAAGCAAAAGTGTGAGACTGAAGTCCATGAGACTTTGGAGGGAGGGCAATAAGGGGGTCCTTTGGCATCCCCACTCCTTGAAGTTCAACACAAAGCTATGCATGTTTTGTCCCTTATGTGTATAAACAGAAAAGGAGGGAAAACTAAAAAGAGGCTAAGACTCAAAAAAATTAAGACTCACTTAATCTAATAAGTGAACTGTAATTATACTTTTAAAATCAAATTACATTATTTAATTCTTAAACATAAAGAAAACAGTAGAGTCTATCTAGTGGTTTAACATTCTACAGACTATTATAAATCTGTAACTGAACTACCATCATATATTTCGGTAGTTCTGTTCACCCAAACCAAGATACAGTTACTCTTTGCTTTCTTGGGAAATATATGTAAAAAATGAGCTGAAAAATTATCATGAGTCTTTTTTACTCTAAGTCATTTAAACATCAAATTCTACTGCTTGGTACTGAAGATCTAGAGTCATGCTATCCAAAAAATGGAACCAGTAAGTCATGTGTGGCTATTTAACTAAAATTCAATGAAAACTTTAGTTTCGCAGTCACACTAGTAACATTCCAAATGCTTAATAGGCACATGTGGTTAATAGCTACCATACTGGAGTGTAGATATAGAACATTTCCACTATTACAGAAAATTCTATTGGACAGTGCTGATCCAGAGTTTAACTAAAATAAAGCTATCATTACTGTTCCACAGAGACTTAAAAGTCTTTGATTATCTTTTGCTACCTGTACTTTTGGAATGAGAGAGACCACTGATACTGTCACTCAAAGCAGCTACTTGATCAGTAAGAAGAGTACTGAGGCTCATTCAAGCTCCTTGCTCTGATATCTAATTCTTATAAAACTTTAAGCAAGTCAGTTAATCCACACATCTGAACCTCAGTTCTTCTGTAAGAGATAATGTCAACCTACCTTACAGAGTTATTGTTAGGATATTCAAAACCATATATACATATATGCATGATTGCCTGTGGGTATATCTGTTATTTTATCACCCTTAAATTCAAGACCATCTCTTTCCTAAAACTTCTAAGCTGTTTTCATCATTTCAATTTACTCATAGAAAGAAACTGAAATCTTAACAGAAGAAACTGAAGATATTTCAGATAATCTAATTCAACAAACAAAAGGCTTGGCCCAGTGAGTACCTATTAAACGTCAAACACAGTGCTTGATGCTCTTGCACTTTACCCTGCTGAACCTCACAACAATCCAGAGAACAGATGACATTAAACTCATTTTGTAGAAAAGAAAACAGAGGCAGGCAAAGCCTAAGCAGCTGACGCAAGACCACCCAGCTACTAAGAGGAACCAGTACTGGACTCCAGGTCAAGGTTTAACTTCAAAGCTTTCCCACACAGTGTAATCCTCCCATAGAAAGGACAGAAAATGCCTGGAAGGAAAGCAAAAGTTTCAAAACACAAGCAGAAAGTTCACCTACAGATAACATATAGCAGTTCAATTAAATGTTAATTGAATCCAGTGAAGACAACGATATTCCAAGATCTCTCTCCAGATTTTATCTTTAAGGTTTATATCCAAATGGATGTACAGCAATGATGAAAAAAAAAAAAAAGTGAAAAACAAGACAGAACCTTCCATTCAAGAGAACAGAGTAAAGCAGAACAAGAATCAACCTTACAGAGATATCCAATCCCACAAAGCATTATCTTACCTTTTCAGATAGAATATCTGAGGCACTAATTCTTCTGGTTAAATTTTGTTCCTTATCTTCTAATCCTTTAAAATAAAACAGCATACTTTGAATGCTTTAAAAGACTGCTACAATCAATTTAAAATGCTACATGACATTTATACTAATAATTATTTTTAAAGGTCTCAATAAAGGGTTTCATTTTCTCAATCTCTCCATCAAAAGGAAAGAATGTTGCCAGAATGAAAATCTGAAAAAACTTTCATATCAGCTTCATTTCTGAAAGTTATAAGGCAAAAATAATTCAAAACATTAAAATATAAATTAAAACTGCACCATGATAAAAATGACTTCTGAATTAAAAACAATTATTTCAAATAAGAACAGAATTTAGAGTAGATAGGCAAAAAACGAAGCTTCCTTACTAAATAGATAATACAGAAAAAAGAATATATGATGATTAATTCAGACCTCTGAAGCTGAAATGAATTCAACCATTTAGAGATAGTATTGATTTATTTAAAAAAATGTCCTCAGGACTTTCCTGGTGGCCAAAATGTACTAAAAACAAAAACAAAAAAAAAAAGAAGAAGAAATGTTCTCTATTTACCCAAAAAAGTATTTGTAGAAGTAGATTAAATGACAAAACTAAGTCCGTCCACACATCTTCCAGAATTCTAGCCTCGGACCCATATTTATGATTAAGCTATTACAAAATCTTACTTATACATGATCTAATCTGGGCTTTCCCTGGTGGCTCAGTGGTAAAGAATCCACCTGCCAATGCAGGAGATGCGGGTTCAACTTCCCAGGGCTTGGGAAGATCCCCTGGAGAAGGACATGGCAACCCACTCCAGTATTCTTACTTGGGAAAACCCATAGACAGAGGAGCCTGGGGGGCTACAGTATGGGGTTGCAAAGGAGTCAGGCACGACTTAGCGACTAAACAACGATATTATCTCCTCTATGACAGCTCTACAAATCATGCAATTAAGTTATAGTACCTATGTAACAGTACCGAGACTCTTTCATAGCTAAAACAGATTAAGTTAAAAACTAAGAAAATCTCTCAAGATGACACAACTGGATTTGCAAAGCTAGGATTCAAACTAAGCATAAATTCCAAATCTAGGTTTTTTTCTGTAATACCACTGCCAGTATTTCAAATATCTTAACTTGATTGCTCAAGATCTACTGGTAAAAGAACAGGCAATTTATTCAATACATAGAATTAATCAACTACCCTAAAAAAGTAAATGGAAGGCAACCACCAAACTCTGAGTTAGGTCAGTTCTGCCATATTGCTTGTTTTGGAAATACAAATTTGTTGCAACATGATTGACAGATTGGAAAATAATTTGAGGACAATACAAATTTCACATTTGCTTATGTACAATTTGTGTCCAAGAAACACTACGAGAATGCAGAAAGCTGCACCCAGGTGATCCTAGTAGGAGCCATGTAGGAAGATACAAACCCCACAGACTCTGAGCAATCTACCAGCTCTTCAGTTCACTGTACATATGTGATGAGCCACACCCATCCCCATCTGGTGTTACAGTTTACTGTCCAATTTCAAATAATCTCCCTTGCTCTACTCACAGTAATTTGTAAGTAGAGCTGCTTCCACTTGTAACTTGTAGGCTGCTTCCACAAACACATTTTAGGTCTTTCTCAAGGTAAAGTGACATTATAGTATTTCAGGCATTTTTATCCATTTAATGTGTAAACTTGCACTATCATTTTTATTATATTGCAATCTTTTTTTTATGTGCCACTGACAAGGTTGTTGAGAGCCTTTTCCCCTAACATGATTTATTGCGTAATTCCAGTGTAGTGATTTTCAGGAATGCATGTCACCTTAGAGCAAAACTGACTATACTTCAAAGAATACCAGAATAGTAATAACTATTACATAAAAATTAACAGGAAAAAAAAAAAGACAGACTGTCCATAATAAATGTAAAAAGAACTGAACTTTCATCCAACATGAGAGGAATCATTAAGTTAGGCGAGGCTCTCTATGAAAAGGTGGTAGCACCTCCCTGTAAGGGAAATAAAAGCAACTATCCACTAAGCTGGCAGATACCTAATGAGCACAATGTCACCTGAAAGACAAGCACAAACCATAAACTTCAGACCATAAATTCAGCTTCCACAAAGATTAATAAAAGCAGGTTAAGGTTTAATTGACCAGATATGTGGTTTGGTCCTTTCGTCCTACCACTGTCATAGGTCTTTGCAATATTATTATATTAATTCCTACTCAATACTTCCAAGATGAAAATGGGTCTTGTGCAGCCATGTAGTATTTTTAAAATTATTACCTGAAATTCTAAACTGAGCAAGAGATAGTCAGGATTTGGGGGTAGTGGAAACCATAATAACTGGACTTTCCTGATGGTTCAGTGGTTACAAATCCACCTGCTAATGCAGAGGACATGAATTTGATCCCTGGTCCCAGAAGATTCCTCATGCCAGGGAGCAACTAAACCCATGCATCACAACTACTGAGCTGCGCTCTAGAGCCTGTGAGCCACAACTGCTGAGGCCTGCGTGCCCGAGAGCCATGCTCTGCAACAAGAGAAGCCACCACAATGAGAAGCCCACACACTCCAACTGGAAACTCAGCCCCTACTCACCACAACCAGAGAAAGCCTGCACAGCCAAAAATAAACAAAAAAAAAACTGTAACAAATGAGAACAACCAAGGAGAAGAGAACACCAAAGATATCAACAGATAAGAAGTTACAAAGGAAAAGTGTTATTAAAAAACAAACAAACAGGAAAAGTCAGAAGAAAGTTGTAAGAAATTACTGATGTGTATAGTATCATTGAAACCCTGAAATTTCAAGATTAATGAGAAAAGTATCACTGTAACAGATGTGTCTACTCCCTATAGAATACTCTCAAAGTTGCAGCCAGGGTGAGTCTTTGAGAATACAAAACAAATTATGCCAATCTTTTGCTCAAAATCCTGTTAACACCTCCTGTTTCACTCAGAATAAAAACTAAAGTTCTTGTAAGATACTGCATGATCTGTCCCAGCCATTCTCTCTGACCTCTTTTCTCCCACTATTCATCCCCTCACTCCCTCTTCTTTAGTGGCACTGGCTTCCATATTACTCCTCAAATGTGCCAGTACCCCTCTGCCTAAGGGTCATTACTCTAGTTCAGTGAGTCTCAAAGTTTAGCAGGTATCAGAATCAACAGGAGGGTTTGTTAAATACAGACTGCTGGGCCCCATTTCCAGAGTTTCCTCTTTAGTAGATCTAGGGTTGCTGTTGTTCAGTCACTCAGTTGTGTCCAGCTCTCTGCAACCCCGTGGACTGCGCATATCAGGCTTTTCTGTCCTTCACTATCTCCCAGAGTTTGCTCAAACTCATGCCCATTGAGTCAGTGACGCCATCCAACCATCTCATCCTTTGTTGTCCCCTTCTCCTCCTGCCTTCAGTCTTTCCCAGCATGGTCTTTTCCAAGGAGATCTGGCATAGGGTCTGAGAATTTGCATTTCTATTAAGTTCCCAAGTAAAGAAGGTCTAACGACCACAGTTAAAAAGCCAATACTCCAAGCTATCTATTCTCTTTGCTTGGAAACCTCTTTCCCACATGTATACATTTGGCTATTCCCCCACCATCTTCAAAGCCTTTGTTTAAATCTCACCTTCAAATTCAGGCCTCTCCTGATCACTCACTAATACTGCAGCCTGTACCCACTGCCTCCATTCTAACTCACTTACTGCTATGCTTTTTCTCTCTCTACAACTGTTATTTAGTCATCATAATTACTGTTCCCTCTTCTTAAAATGCAAGCCCATGAAGGAATAAATGATTATTTATTTTGTTCACTGATGTATTCCCAAGAGCCTGGAACAAAGTGCTCAACTAACTTTTGAATAAATGGAAGAATGAAACAAAAAATGAAAGAAAATGAACAGTAAAATCTGCAACTAGGTTAAAGTAATCTTGCCCTGAGTAGTTTCAGTATTCTGGTAGGGGCAGACAAGCAAACTGCATTGAGTTAGGAAGGTATTGCATTGAGTTACTGAGATGTAAAGTGAAAAGAGTCAGTGCAGACTGGTCTGTCTGGTAGTCTGGTTGAAAAGACAGAAGTTAAGGGACAAGGTAGAATGGGGAGGAGGGACTGTTCAGATTTGGGGATGGAATACACCAGTGTGTTTATAGTAAGTACTCCTTAAGAGAAAAGTGGTTAAAGAGGACACAGAATAAAAAACCTTTGGAGTAAGATCCCAGAGAAAGTGAGAGAAATTAGAGCCAGGAATCAGGTTAAAACAAAGTGGCCATAAACAAAAAGAGGGTCACTACTTCCTCACAGTAGAGAACTGAAATGAAAATTGATATGGATATAAGCTGACAATTAGGGAGTGAAAAGTTACAAGTTGAGTGAGATCACCTGAAATAGGAGGCAACCTCACAGACTGACAATAGGGATAAAGGTTGAATAAATGGCCTGAAAAAAGAGAAATGGGGGGGAGCGGGAAGCTAACCCATAGCAACCAAAAGGTTTAATGGCAGAGCAGCAAGTTTTGCTGAAGACTGAGAAAGGGGTGCCTGTGTTTTAACACTAATCAATATAATTTGATTCAGATAAATTTCAGCTTTTTTGGTTTTCTTCCAATCCCTCTTTTACACTGCTGCCTGTTATATTTCTAAAGCAGACATCTGATCACATCATTTTTCTGTTTAAAAATATTTGATGGCTCATCTGAGGTTTAAAGAAAATCTAAACCCCTTAAGCAAGATATTCAGTGCCCTTTACAGTCCAATCTCAACCTGTACTTTTATAAATTTATATCCAACCACTCAACAAACATACATATATTTCACACTGCACCCGTATTAGATCAATCTCAATATCCTTTACAAGTTCTTTAGGCTTTCAACTGCTCATTTGGTTCCTTCTGATGGGAATTCCCAAATGGAAAAGATACATCCTCCAAGACATTACCATCAAACATTACCATCACAATGAAAACTTTCTAAATTCCAATGAAGGTAGTTGTTTCTTGCATTACTGCAGGCTTTCATACATAACTCATTATATTCCATATTTGTCTATGTGTCTTCTCTATCCCACTGGGGTATAATCTTCGAAACTGCCTGTTTGGAATCATGGTGCTAAATTGAGGAGGAATAAACATGTCTCTAAGAATGTGTAATCAGAATCAGTCACCACTTGGGTTTGCAATCAAATTTACATCACATGAGTTGCCTGAAGAGGTCAAATATAACATAGTCCCAAATCAAAAGTCTACTTAGCTCCTTGGCAGCAGCAAGAGCAAATCCTCTCTAGGAAATTCACCTTTGTACAGGCCACCAAAACTCCCTACCAAAATAATTCAGAGGACAATGAACACCTTACTTTAAAAAAAAACAACGAACAAAACACACTAAACATGCAAGAAAAGAAGGTACCAAAAAATGAGAACCAGCAGGGATAGCAAAAATTAGAAATTAGACTCAGATACCAGAAACTAGCAGGCAAAGAGGAAAATCAAAACAAGCCCATAATTAAAATGTTTAAAGAAATAAAGATATATTTGAAAAACAGAAGAAACATTTTTAAAAATGACCAAAGAACAAAATAAAAATGAAACACTAAAACAAAAACTGTAACTGAAATTTAAAATTCAGTAAGTGGGCTTAAGGCCAATCCGACAAGAGATAAAGAATTTGAGAACTAGGTGGACTGAAAGATACATCAGAGGACATTTTCCAGAATGTATCACACAGTTACAGATGCAAATTTAAGAGAAATGAAAGGTAAAGTGAGATGATTTAATAAAACATACTGATACAATACAGAGTTCAAAAAAAAAAGAGAATGGGACAATATAAGAGATAATGACAATTTTCAGAATCAATGAAAACTAGGAGCAAAACAAGTCCCAAGCTGAATAAAAATAAAAAATACAATTAACATATCACAGTTTAACTGTAGAGTATTAAAACAAAAACAGGGTCTTTAAAGCAACTAGAGAAAAATGACAGATGACCTTCAAATGAGTAACTGTTAAGATGGACAGCTGACTTTTCAAAGTTAACAATGGAAGCCAGAAAATATCTTCAACATATTGATAATATAATTAACTAATCTAGAATTCTAAACGTGGGAAAACTGTCTTTTAAGGGGGGTAAACAGAAGTAACTTTTTCATATGGTAGACATACTACATGGAAATTCTTAAAAACGTATTTTATGCCTAAGTGATTCTAGACATAAAAGAATGAGTCAAGAAAGAGTTAAATACATGGCCAAAGGTAGGCAAAAACTGTCCTTGTGTATCAGGGAGAGGGTAAATGCCTTGATTAACTTTAAACACTGGTAACAACTCATGTTACCATTCTTAAAGGAATCAAAATGAGACCAAAAACTTAATATCTAACTGTCAAACCAGTAAAAGAAAAAAAAATTTTAAAACAAACCAAAAAAAGTCAAGAAAGAAAAAAAGGAAATACAAAGATCAGTAATCATGAAAAAGTGTGAACAAATTATATTTGTCTTGTTAAAAGACAAAGATTATCAGGTTAAATTACAAATGAAATCGGTTCTATTTAATGTGCAAATAACCTTTGGAACAAGAAGATACAGAAAAGACCAGGCAATGACATACAAAAAAATACACTTCTGAAGAGAAAGACGGTGTGGCTGGCTATTAATTTGAGACAAAATAATCTTTTAGGCAAAATTACTACTAGACATAGAGGTCACTACATAGTAATAAGAATAATAATTCCCTAGCCTCAATGTGTTTAAAGTAAAAACTGAAAACCAGAAACCCACCACCATACTGGCAGATTTTAGCAAGCCTCTCAGTAACTGATAGATCAAGCAGGTCAAAAAACTGTTTACATCTTCCTTCTAAGATGTGAACATAAAAGCCTGATCTAACAACCCAAACATTCCTTTCAAACACACAAAGAACTTATAAAAATTGGTCACATGCTAGACAATAATGCAAGTCTCTAGAAATATTTCAAAAGATTGGTACCACATAGGTCTCTGACAATGTTGACTGACTTACAAGTGGATAACAAAAAACAGCTAAAAACCCTACATTCTTGGAAGTTAATAGTTCCAAATAACCTACAGGCCAAAGAACAACAAAAATTAGAAAAATACTTAGAACTGAATGAAAAAAATTTACATATCACAAGCTGAGATGTAACTAAAATAGAAATCTTATAGCCCAAGTGAAAGCTGCTCAGTCGTGTACAACTCTTTGCAGCTCCATGGACTGTACAGTTCATGGAATTCTCCAGGCCAGAATACTGGAGTGGGTAGCCATTCCGTTCTCCAGGGAATCTTCCCAACCAGGAATGGAAGTGGGGTCTCCTGCATTGCAGGTGGATTCTTTACCAACTGAGCTATCAGGGAGGCAAAATTTATAGCCCAAAATGAGGTTAATAGAATTTTATACCACAGAGAGACTAACAATTAATGAGTTAACAAGCAGGGAACTTATTTCTGAGGAAATTTTAAAAGGTATGGGGAGATAAAATTTATAAATGCTACAGATAATAAAAAGGTAAGACATTTAATAACTTAGTATAAACTGTTCAACTTACAGGAAATGAACACATTACTAGAAAATTACAGTTTACCTAAACTGCTTTACCCAGAAATAGAAAACCTGAACAGTCAGTAGTTTAAAACCTCCCCAGAAAAACTCCATCCTGCCCCAGATAATTTTACCTGCAAGATCTACCAAATATCCCAGGAATGAGTACAACCTGAAACCTATTTGAAAGAGGGAAAACCACTCAACTCATTATGAGCATTGTAACTTTATACTAGGCTCCCCTTTCCCCCACCCAGTAGAGAATCAGCCTGCAATGCAGAAGGTAAAGGAGGGGCAGGTTCAATCCCTGGGTTGGGAAGATTCCCGGGAGGAAAAAATGGCAACCCACTCCAGTATTCTAGCCTGAAAATCCCATAGACAGAGGAGCCTGGCAGGCTACAATTCAGAGTCACAAAGAGTTGGACACACTACCAACCTTATACTAAAACTTGCAAGGAAAAACAAGGAACAAAGCTACAGGCTATGAACATAGATGAAAATTTCCAAACAAATATTAGCAAACCTTTATTTATGAAGGTTTTATAACTGCTCCAAGCTGAAAGAACCAAATGTCCCTCAAGTGGGAAATGGATAAAAAAAGTGTAGCAAAGCCATACAATGGGACATTCAACAGTAAAACAGAATGAACTACTGATACATGTAACCACATGGATCAATTTCAAACACGCTAATCAAAGAAGCTAGGATTAAAAAAATGTTCTACATGACTCTATTTATATGACATTCTGGAAATGGCTAAAGTATAGGGTCAGAAAAACAGACCAGTGGTTACCAAGTAGGGTTGGTGGCATGAGGGAACTGGCAGGACTTAATGGAACTGTTCTACATCTGAATAGTGATGGCTGGCAATGATTACCCAACTGCTTGCATCTGTCAAAACTCAAAAAACTACACAGTTAAATGGATAAATTTTTACTGCATCTAAACATACACTCACATAAAAGAAGAAAAGGAAAAATTAACAACCCATATCCATGATGTATAAAGATAATGTATCATGAACTAGCTGGATTTATCCCAATCATTCAACAGTAGTTTAACTCTATAAAAATCAATTAATATAATTGATTACACTAATAAACTAGAAATTACACTAATGAACAAGAAAAATTAAATGCTCTTCTCCATAATGAAGAAAAAATATCTGATAAACTTCAACATCCACTCATGCTGAAAATTTCAAACAAGGAATGGGGGTGAGGTCTGAATTCCTACAATAAACTTAACCAACACTATGTCTAAAAGTAAACAGCAAAGAAGGGATATATGTATATGTATGGTTGATTCACTCTGCTGTACAGCAGAAATGCATTGTAAAGCAACTAAACTCCAATCAAAAAAAAAAAGTAAATGGCAAAAGTATCCCCTGTAAGTTAGGGAACAAAAGTGCCCATTACCACTTATGTTAAATTGTATTATTAGCCCTGATCAGCACTTAAAGCCAAAATGAAATAGAATTTGTCATCATCCAACAATATGACTGTCTATGTAGACAGTGCAAAAAGAATTCAGACAAAATATTAGAATCATTTCAATGAAGTACACTACCAAAATAACCAGTTACCCCTTTGAAGGAAATGTCATCACTAACTGAAATTTTAAATTCCATTACCTGGACTAGATTCAGTAGTGTCAGATTTCAGGGAAAGCTGTTTTGTTCCATCTTTAACTTTTTTTAATCGGTTCTTATCTCCTGGTAAAGTCAATTTTTGCCTGAGTGGTTTTAATTCAAATGCCTGAAAAGTTTTGACCTGTGTTTTCTCCTCAGGAGCTACTTCTTTACTTGAGTCTTTTATAATACTGACATTATCAGTGCTTGTTTGGTCCTCAAAGTTCAACGTTTTAGGATCTTCTTGCACATTCTCCTCTTTGCTACTCAAAGCCAGTTTTTCATCCTTATTGATGCACTCTAGTTCCAACTGTATTTGCTTATACTTCAAAAGTAAATCTTCAAAAGTTTCTTCCCCACAGTTTTCACTTTTTGATGAATAATTCTGTTTTCTTGATGGAGATCTTCCAAAACTTTTGGCTGAACAGCGTATTAAGGAAACCAGTTGCCAAAAATTTTCCAGTTAATTTAACAAAAACACATTAAGTTATGGATGAATTGTCTCCCTTTTTTGTGTTTTTCAAAGATGAATTGATATTTTAAAATTACTAAATTCCATTTAACACATGTGCTGTTATGTGTTAAGCACTTTCATTATGTGACCATATTTCAAATTTAACAAGTATTCATATAAACAGTCCACTTACAAGATCACCAGTGTCACTTATTACCCACAGTATCCACAGGAACCGCACCTAGTTAGTTTACAGCATCCTTCTGAAGGCATCAGGAAAGCCCATAATAAGCTGCTTGTTAAAGATTTGTTTCTGAAAGAAGAGGGAAGAAACTGAATGGTTTGTCACCGATGTTGATAATTTACACTTCAAATAATCAGAAGATGTTTCTTCTTTTTAATTAATTTCTTATCTCAAATTTTTAAAAATAGAGATAAAAAATAAACTGATAATTAATAGTTAAGACTAAGTTATGAATAAGAAACACTGTATTGAAAACCTAACACATAGCAATCTTAGAACTCATCAAGTATACTAACATCCAAAATAGGTACAACTAAGACAATGAAACCATTTTTTAAAAAAAAAACTTAAGTTGTATGCAAGATGTATCTTCTAAACTAATTTTTCCTTGAAGATAAGGATATCTAAAACCTGTTATTTTTGGTCTTTCTTTTCTTTAACATAGTGATACATAAAACACAACTTCATGGTTGAAGTGGCTACAAAGTTCCAAACTAAAATTTTTACTCAAAATAACTCACACATGTAAGAACTGTTCCACCTCACTTCTCCAGTCTAGAAATTAATAAAAGACAAGTATTTTATTTGGTTTTAACACAATAAGGCATTAACAGATCATTAAACTGGCTAGGATATAACATTACACTTCCCTAAATATAGTTTCTTCTGTGAAACAACTTACTGGACAGACAATCTGCAAAGATTTTTAAACTTCTCTAATAACCAATTTAAGAACGGGAACTACCACCAAGTATTTTAGAAACTAAATGATCATTACAACTGAAAATCTTTAAAAGTTCTGCAGCAAAATTGTTCTAGCAAGTCTTTGGTTTTCTGATCTCCTTTTTAGAGCTAGGTTTCTTGAAATAATACTGGTTTCTCATTACCTCCTCAACCAAATGGAATCTGGCTTCTGCTGGCTGAGTTCATCCATCGTGTTTTCAAACCTTATTCCATCTGATTTCTCTGTTTCTCTAGGTTTTGGGGTTTTTTTTGCTCTTTAATGAGACCTTTCTCTCCCAACTGCTTCAACAACAGTGCTCTCCAGTGAGGCCTACTTAGCCTCTCTCTTTCCCTTCTGAGCATTCCAATGCACTCCCATAGTTCTGCCTGGTGGTAGGTATTTGGGGTTCTATCTCCCACAAGCCATCTTCCATCCTATTGTTAATCTTTCTAGAACACAAATCAGATCTTATCCCTTGTTTTAATCTCACTAAGAATAGAGTCCAAAATCCTTACAATGGCATATAATGCTTTCATGATTCCCTTCCAATCTTACCTCTTCCAGGTTTATCACAATTTATGCATAGCTTTGTGTCTAGGCTTTTCTGGTCTTCAAATTGACCCCAATTCAAAGGCCCTCTGCTATGTGAAGCTAGATAATTACTTGCTCACCTACCCCACCATTACATACTCTTTGTACATAAACTTGGGTAATTATCTACATTTAAATCTCACTTTTTTAATGGAGTCACAGCAACTAAAAAACTAAGATTGGAGTCCCTGGAAACATTCAGAAAGAGAAAAGATTCAATACACTAACAAAAAATAAAATAACTAAAGGACAGGAAAAAAGGAAAATCAATTGAGCTATGACTAATTAATCTCCTTCAAAGCTAAATGAAGTCTCCTACTTCTACCTACACAGAACAGTTAGAATGAAACCAACACTTAAATTATTTAATATGAAATTGGTCAACATGGAGCTTCTAACTGAAATCCGGTTTATGTTAGCTATGACCAGATTTGAAAGTTTAAGCTGCAGCCATCCAAAGAAGACATATGCTAATACTGATCGACAAAGTGCCTATCAATAAGGAAAATTAAAATGAATGAAATGAAAATAACTATCTCCAACAGAATCTGGTTTATTCTATTTCATTAAAGCTGCATCTAGCATATTTTAATTATTACTGAAAAAGTTTTAAAAAATACTCACCTGTACTCATGCTACTTTACTTCTACATTACGGAAATAAGTCACAGAATAACTCTTATTCTTTCTTAAATGCAATACTAGTAACATAAAAATGTCACTATTACAAGCACACAGTGGAAATAAAAATTAAACTGAGTATAATCATGGTATTAAAGGAATTAAAGTAACAAAATCTTTTATTACAAAATTTGCTCCCGTTACATAAAAGAGGCTGGGAACTATGTTTCTCTTCACAAATTTTTATAAAGAATTCCACCTCTAGGATGTATTAATGTTACTTCACAAGGAAAACAATGAGCAGAGGATCAAAACAATCATCCCTGTGCAGGATGTGTGAAAAGAAAAACAGCAAGACAGATCATTTCTGATAAGTTACTACAGAAATCAGACTGGATACTTTCCATACTTGTTTCACAACACCATATGCCTGTTCATTAATAAAAACATCTAAGGTTAACAATTAATAAAGGTATATGGCAGAGGCCAAACTGATATCGAATGCATGGACAGAAAGAAGGCAAAAGAAGGAAGTAGGCAAGTCCATGCATCACCTCCTTCTCTAAAATAAAATAAACTAAGAAAAAACTTTAAGCTCCCATAGCACTTTTTACATACCTCAATTTGAACTTTTTACACTGAATATAATTAACATTTGTCTCTTCAACACACAAGTTTCATTTTTGTATTCTTTTTTATGCTTTTTTAAAATTTATTTTTTTATTGAAGGATAATTGCTTTACAGAATTTTGTTGTTTTCTGTCAAACCTCATTTTTGCATTCTTAAATAATTTACGAGTCTGTAATTAAACAGCCCTTCTGTTCTTAGGCTCAGAACCGACAACTTAACAAATCCTTGGTTAAAAAAAATATCTTGGGCTAAGGTTGTCTATCTTTATTCAAAGAACATTTTCTTTTTAAAAGTTAAAATACCTATGTGATTTTTTTCCTGAAACAATCCTGGAGTGCTCCTGACCCAACTTGTGGCTGCGTAAGTTTTTTCAGAGCACTAGCATCAGAAGCTCCTCCTCATCTAAACTACATTTCTGGTCCTCTTTCTATCCTGACATCTGGCAAAGACCATTTGGTCTTAACTATTCTATGAAAATAACGTTGTGTGTCTCCCCAACAAATGTCATTACATGTAAGTTTCATATATAATGAATATATTAAAAAATCACTACAGCATGGAAATTACAATCGGCAATAAGTATTCTCAATAAACTATTTTTATGCAGTTATCACGGAGACAAGACACAATTATCATGGAGTATGTCAAGACACAGTTCTACAAATAGTCTGAAAAAGAATATTAATTAATGTAATTACTATAAATATACAATCTGCATCACTTTGCTGTATCTTGAAATACATGCCCTAAACGTAAAAAAAAAAACAAAACTGTTTAAGGGTAGTTCTACAAACACATCTTAAAATAGCAAATCCTCAGATGAATAAACTCAGGAATGTTTAAGATAACTAAGAATAAGATTAGAGGGGACAAGAATCAGATATTTGCTATTTTCCTCCTTAACCTCTCCACTAGCTCCACCTCCCCATAAACCCCATGGTTTCCAATATATTAAAATAAAAATGCTGTTAAGTTTCATTTTCTCTCTAGTCCACAACTGTCAGCACTAAGAGTTATAAAAATGCCCAAAATATGAACATAAGAAATAGAGGAGTTAAGGAGGTAACGCTTCTGCCAAAGATACATGAATTTCAAACCTCTGAATTAACAGTTGGTGACACCAGGGTTTTTTTCCCCCAACTTTAAAACGCAGCAATGTATAAGAATAAATCAAGAAAAGTTTAAAAAAAAAATCACAAATAAAAACATTAGGACCCGGTGTATCGACACTTCATAATCTTCAATGTGGCCATGCAATACGATATAAGCAACAGTATTCCTCAAACTTTTTACGGCTAATACTTTTTTCTCCCTCTAACAATCTAAAACAACTTCACATAACGAAGTTTACTAACAAAAACAAAGGCTCCTAATGAAACCTGGACTTGTGATGTAGTATTTCAAATCTGATTTTACACTTAGATTCCACTAGTTTGGCCCCCATCCAAAACAAGTTACTGTTAAAAAAGCAATATACCCAATCAAGCAATTTTAAGAAACAACGCGGCAGTTTGACACACCGGGTTGACCGAGGAACCACCTACGTTAAGTATATTGACACAATGACAAGTAAGCGGTTCTGACGGTTCAGAAAAGTTACTCATCTCACAGACCCAGAAATGACGCTAAAGGGAACTTTAGTGACACACCCAGGGCAGACCGCCACGTTAAGGATACAACTCTTCCGAGGTGGAGAGGGCTCTCGCCAGCTCTGACTGCTGCCGAATCCGGATCCCGCTCCTCCTCCCAGAGGTCTGCCCCCCGGCTTGCCTCCTCGCTCACCCCCTCCTCGTCCCCGACTCCAGCGACTCCCACCCCGGTAAGGCCTGCCTCGAAAACGGAAACGGTCCAAGGCGATGTGGCTCCGTTCCCAAAACGACGGCCGGGGGCTGCTTTCGGACAGGGAGCTGGAAGGCATCCTCACGGAGGGCGGGTGAGACCGGAACGGCTCTTTGGGTCGGTAGCTGCTATGTCCCCTGAGGTGGCCCCGCTCTGACGCGTGCCGCGAGCGTGAGAAATTCCTCAGCTGCAGCTGAGAAGAGGACGACGACGAGGAGGAGCCACCGCCTCCGCCGGATCCACCGCCCCGGGCCGGGTGAGGAGGCCTTCGCCGCGGGTACGGTAACAGCCCGCCGCCACTGCTACTGCTGCTGCTCCGGCTCCGTATCTGACTGTTATTATCGTCGTCGCTGATCTCCCCATCTTCAAGCTCCCCTTCTTCCTTAGGCGAGAGGCCACTGGAAGCCAGGGCCGGAGTATCTGCGGTCGCCATCCCGGGAACAGCGCTTTCCACACAACCTTAGCCCTCTATCCGGGGATCCGCCCGACTACTGCCTTCCTCTTCGGCTTCCTTCTTTCCTAACGGACCCGGTCGGTGCGGCCTTATCCTGTTTGGAGACCTAGCGGGCTCTGCTCCCCAACTTCCCCGCACCCCAGCTCTTTCTCGCCGGACCGTCGCAACCTCTTCCCTACCCTAGCGCCCCCTTGCTCCTCCGCGATCGGGGCTCTTCCGCTTCGCGAGAAAGTGGCTCTGGAAGTGGCTCTGTTCGGCCGTCACTTCCTGCTGCACGCCGGAAACAAGGCTCCCAATTCACGCGATAATAATTAGGAGAGCGCGATGCTCCCTGGGAGTTGTAGTCTTTTTTATTGCCGCTCGCTTTGAGGTTTTCCTTCCAGTCTGAGGCTCGTAGCTATTCCTGACTGGTCTTTGGGGGTTTGGGGTGCGTGGCGGCGTAGGCGGGCCTGTTTTTAATCCTGGCCTCAAGAGAGTTTCATAGTAATAGGGGGGATAGGAGGGCACACCTCATCTAATTGCTCGGTGACCCGCAGCTAAAGAGACGCTGTAGTCCCACTCCCTTTCCGGAGCCGGGGAGAGGGCGGGTTGCGTCCGCCATGTTGGTGAAGGCAAACGAGGGCGACTGGAGCTCCAGGACCGTCGGCTTTGCTGGCTCTAGTCCGCCATATTAATAAAGAGAAAGGGCAGGTTGACCCCTCCCGCCCCCCACCCGCCACACACACACACACACACACACACACTTACACACGCGCGCGCGCGCGCACACACACACACACACACACCCCTTCTTCCCAGCCATCTCTGGCAACTCAGCTCAGTGGGCCCTTCCCCAGCCTCTTTTGCCTAGGGTCCACCCGAAGGAAACGTAGCATCCCGCGCCTCAAATCAGGCTTAAGACAGCGCCGAATGAGGTGGAAAGGGAAATGCCGACCAATTGCGCCGCGGCGGGCTGTGCTACTACCTACAACAAGCACATTAACATCAGCTTCCACAGGTAACCTGGGCAGGGAATGGGGCTGACGGGAACGGGAGTTCCTAGACGGTATCACTTGTGTGAAAAGAACAAGAGGATTCTACCAATTCTAACTTAGCTATTGGGTAGCAGGGACGCGTCGTTTTTGCGTTTTGTGTTTCTCACATCTGTCCAGTTTTTCTCTCCCTTCGGGGAAGGTTTACTCAAGTTCTGTACAGTGATTAGTCCTTCTCTAGAAAGTGACAGGAGGATACCTTAATTTTCTGCTCTTTTTATTTCCTGTGTATTCGACCAGGTCTTGATGTTAATGACGCCATGAGAGGAAGCGAGATCTTCCTTTTCAAGTCAGCAATCACCTAAAAAGCCGACTACGTTCCTGTTACATAGTCAGTTCTCACTAGCTATATTGACATGGGAAGCGTTTAAGATTTCTGATAGTCACATACAGTAACTGCGGAGGAATTGTCATTAATAGCAGTAGAATTAAGCTTTGTGAATGAAAATGGAAAAGATAAACTTTCTATTATTACTAGAACAGAGTAGTATACAAAGAACCCAGGTTACATTCTTCGTTCATTTGCTGAAGCGCAGTCAAAATTCTTTAGTTCTGTCAAACCATAACTCTGGAAAGCACGTTGAATACTGCATGAAATAATGACTTGGTAACATTTGCCTTCTCTGCAAGTGCCTGCCATCTGCTTGAAGAAAAGAAATATTCAAAAACAAAAGAAGCATTCAAGAAGTTAAGTGCAAACAGTTCTTCATTTACATAGTTTACAACTTAATAAGATCTTAGAATTGAGAAAATTATATCCTTGACCTTTCTTCCCACCTCATTATGACTAAATGTACCCCCTATTAAAAGTTGCCACTTAAAATCCTTGTGGTGTTTATGTTTTTCATGTATGTCATGCAAATGTAGTGCTTTATTCATTGATCCATCTAATGTATTAAAAAGCAGAGATATTACTTTGCCAATAAAAGTACCTATAGTCAAAGCTATGGTTTTTCCAGTAGTCATGTATGGTTGTGAGAGTTGGACTATAAAGAAGCCTGAGCGCTGAAGAATTGATGCTTTTGAACTGTTGGAGCATCAGTGCACTGAAGAAGACTCTTGAGAGTTCCTTGGACTACAAGATCAAACCAATCAATCCTAAAGGAAATCAGTCCTGAATATTCATTGGAAGGACTAATGATGAAGCTGAAGCGCCAATACTTTGGTCACCTGATGCAAAGCACAGATTCACTGAAAAAGACCCTGATGCTGGGAAAGACTGAGGCAGGAAGAGAAGGGGAGGACAGAGAATGAGATGGTTGGACAGCATCACCAACCCCATGGACATGAGTTTGAGCGAGCTTGGGAAGTTGGTGATAGACAGGGAAGCCCAGCATGCTGCAGTCCATGGTAGCACCATGGGGTTGCAAAAAGTCAGACACAACTGAGTGACCGAACTGAACTGAATGTGTCCCAAGCTCTTAGCACCTGACATGGTGCTAAGGATCCAGAAGATTCTTAACCTTCCTGGACTTGGAATGAGAAAGACCAACATAAATAATTATGGTTAAATGCCAGAGAAGAGACTTTCAGGGAGTCCTAACTTAGCATTAGAAAGTCCAATAACACTTCTCAAAGGATGTGAAATGTCAAATGAGACCAAAAGATGACATAAATCTGGTCCTGTACAATACTTTTAAGGGTATTCTATTTTATCCAGTGAGTTCTTGAGTAGCTATGGAAGGCTTACAAAGAATGAAGTGATTAGATTTCCATACTAAAAAGTCCTCAGGCTGCAGTGTGGAGAATTAGAGTGTTACCTAAAGTGCTGGTTAAGCATCATGAGATGAATTTGCTGAGAAAGGAGCTTATTACAGAATGTTAGCATACCTACTATTTCACAGGGAAATCCTGATGCAGCTCAGTGGAACTAAACAATGTACTTCTGATGCTGACATGATCAGCACTAAATTGATAGAGAAAAAAGTTAGGACCCTGTAATAAAATAAGGGAGACTCCACCCAGTGGCCTAGAGTAGAGTGGAACTGAGAGTAGGGACGGGAAGAAGTGGACAGATTTGAGAAATGTTTGAGGAGAAACTACTGTATATGGCAATTTGATTTGGAAGATGAGGAAGAGGGTGGAGTCAAGGCACCAACAATGAATATTTAGGAGATGTGTGGTGGTACTCTAACATATGTACCTCCTTTCCATGTTTGACCATTTGCTTGCTATGAAATTAACATATTCATGTGTAACCTTAGAAGTTTAGGCCTTAAGATAGCATTATTCATAATAAAATTAATTCCTATTTCATAATTAACATTTAATTCACTCCTTTCCTAGGACATTGGTAGACTTCTTTATCCCCATATACAACTTACATTGCCTAAACTTACTGTCCCCATTTTTCTTCTCTCTTCCTCAGCCCATTCCAGACTGTCTCCCCAGTAATCTTTTGAAACTGTTCTTGCTAACATGAATTGTCACTCCTACATCTTTTTTCATGGCTTGTGATCATTTCCTCCCTGAAATACTCTCTACTTTGAATAATTTGACACTTAATTTTTTGATTTTCATCTTACTTCCTTGGCCTAACTTCAGTCTCCTCCACTACTCTACCACCTAGCCCATTCTTATCAAAAGGATTGCAGCTGTTCCTGCGGTCTTGATTAACATTTATTTGTTGATGCCTCCTAAGTCAGTATTTGTAGTCCAAATCTTCAGTGGGTTGTAGACCTTTAGATGAAGTGTCTCAATTATTTCCCCGTCTCTTCAGTTCCTCACATTCAGTATACTAAAGCTGTACCCTTGAACTTGTCGTTTCCTCAAAACTACATTTCCCATATTCCCTTTCTCATAAAAGGAAACACCAGCCACCCAGAAGCTGGGAGGTTATCCTCCCTTGACTTCTCACCATTCCCACTCGATTGAAGTATTAAAACAACTTCTTAACTGGTTCACTGCTTCCATTCATGTCCTTCTAACTGCTCTTTTATAGTAAATGGTGTGTTGCTAAATGTTTGACAACAGGATCTCCGGGGAAGGGTGAAAGCCCTGATTTGTAGTGTTTGTCCAATTTGCAGGATATAAATACTCCAACCATAACTGGTTTTAAGCTACCAACATGATATCACTGATCATGGAGTTGGGAAGAAATGTACACTACTGCTCTATTCTGTATCATTTATTTCATACAGGTTTCATACATGTAAGTAACCTTAAGAGTGTAGACAATAGTAAAATAACTAGGTGGTGGGTTTTTAATATATATTACCTTTGTTTTTAATCTACTTAAATGCAAACTTACATAATTTTTAATCATGGCTGTGTTTAACAACCAGTTAAAACATTTTCTGTTAACAGTCACCCCTAAATTGGGCTCTTGATGACTTACCAATGCCATTTTGGATAAAGTTCAAAATCACTCTTTATCTTAGCAGGCCCTCCATCATCGTTTCATGTCATAACACTTTCCTATTCCCATGATACTCTAACATTCTTCACTACTACCATTTCCCTAGCTAATTCCCATACTCTCTTAAGGTCTCTTGATGAGATTAGCTCTTCCTATTATGGTTCCATGCAATCCTGTACTTACCCTTTTATAAGTTCATATAATTACACTCGTAATTACATTTGTAATATTGAGTTGGCCCCAAAAGTTCATTCAGGTTTTTCCATATTGGAAAAACTATGCACTGGGTTGGGTTTCCCTGGTGGCCCAGATGGTAAAGAGACTGCCTGCAGTGCAAGAGGCTTGGGTTCGATCCCTTGGTTGGGAAGACTCCCTGAAGAAGGGAATGGCAACCCACTCCAGTATTCTTGCCTGGAGAATTCCCTGGACGGAGGAGCCTGGATAGCTGTAGTCTATGAGGTTGCAGAGTCGGGCAGGACTGAGTGACTAACACACAGACACAAACACACACACATTTACTCACATTGTCTCATTTAATTCCTAGAACCACACTAGGTACCGTTATTACTCAACTTTATGGGTGATAAAACCGAGGCCTAAAAAGGTTAAACAACATCCTTAAAGTCACCCAGCTATTATGTGAAGGATCCAGGATTGATACCTGGTTTGATTCCAGAAAAACTGTTCTCAGCCACTCTTTTCTGCTCCATCAAACTATTTGGTTCTCTACCTTCCTCATTACAGTATACCCTCAAAGAAGAAGGACATCATAAAGGTAGGTCAGTTTTATTTACCACCATGTCTCCAGTGCCTAGGACAGTGCTTGGAATGTTAGAGACATTCAGTTATTTATTAAAGACCCAAGCAAAGTAGCACTGTGTAAAATACTGATTTTCCAAAACATCTAATGTTTCTGAAAGCCTGCTTCTATTTTGTGTAGGCAAGAATATATTCATCTATTAACACTACTTCACTTATTTAAAGCTAATATTTACAGGATTTATTATTACTTAAACTCAGCTTACAGGCAGCTTCACTCACCCTTTGGATTTGCTGGGAAAAATCCAAACAACATGTGAAAAACATAATTAAGGTTAATCTTTATAAAACATCCAAAATCAAATATAAAATTGTTGATTATTCTTAATTTATTTCAACACAGATAATCTGAAGATTATTTAGTAATGCCAAACTAACTCCACTAGTTTGTGTATTTGTTGATTCACTCAGAAAAGTTCATTCAATGCTTACTTTACAGGATAAAGTAGTGAAATAAACAGCTTCTAATCAGGAGAAACCTGTGATCTAGTGGTGGAGATAGAAAAGTAAACAATTAGAATACAGTTATATTCGTGCTATATGATACAGGAACATGTAACCGAGTCTTCTGATCATGAAAAACTTGTTAAGAAAATGGGATTCCTAAACTGAGTATTAAAAGAAGTAGAATTTGATGAAGCTAAGGTCCAGTTGGAGGCATTGATTTCATTATTTAAAAAAGAGCTAAAGAGGGGTGTGAAAAATAATATCTGACAGTCTTCATATATCTGAAGAGTCTTATACAAATGCTTAAACAATAGTACTGATAATACTTATTTTATTCTGAGCCTTTATTGAGGGCCCAACAAGAAGTGTGCTTATGAATTAACAGCTTAATTTTTAGCTCAGTCCTCAGGAGAATTTTCAAGTCATTAAATATTGGAACAGAGCTTTGAAGTGAGAATACATTATTGTTAAGAAGTGAGAGCTAGCAGAGTAGATTAATTCTCCCATCAGAAGTGTCTAGTGGTGCTCACTTCGGCAGCACATATACTAAAATTGGAATGATACAGAGAAGATTAGCATGGCCCCCACGCAAGGATGACATGCAAATTCATGAAGCATTCCTTATTTTTTAAGGCATATATATGGAATTTAGAAAGATGGTAACGATAACCCTGTATGCAAGACAGCAAAAGAGACACAGATGTATTGAACAGTCTTTTAGACTCTGTGGGAGAGGGCGAGGGCGGGATGATATGGGAGAATGGCATTGAAACATGTAAATTATCATATGTGAAATGAATCGCCAGCCTAGGTTTGATGCATGAGACAGGGTGCTCAGGGCTGGTGCACTGGGATGACCCAGAGGGAGGGGGGGGGGGGGGGGGGGGGGGGGGGTTCAGGATGAGGAACACATGGACACCCATGGAGGATTCAAGTCAATGTATGGCAAAATGAATACAATATTGTAAAGTAAAATTAATTAGTTAATTTTAAAAAAAGACGAAGTGTCTAGTGAAATAGGGAAAAAGTACCTTATGAAAACATAGGAACTGTAGAGTGACAAGTGTTGTCTTCAGATTAGGGTATATTTGAGGTCGTGGGGAATGGGGACATGAGACAGCAGGTGTATAAGTAAACCTGGGCTTTCATCTCTGTGCCCCTCCCTGCTGGTAATTTGAGCAACTCTACTATATCTAATATAGCCAAAGCTGTTCCTAATGAATCTTCAGCTGGGGGCTTCAGGGCCAGAGGGTCTTCTAACATAAATTTAATGGTTCTTTTTAGGCAATGAGTTCATAATTCATACTTTAAGATAGTCAAACTAAAGAGTTCAAACTTACTGCATGTAAATGTTGATTCTTCTATTTCCAAGTCAGTAAACACTTTCAGGGGCTTCTCTGAAAGCTCAGGAAAGCTGAGGAATCTGCCTGCTATACAGGAGACCGTGGTTCTATCCCTGGGTCAGGAAGATCCGCTGGAGAAGGAATAAGCCACCCACTCCAGTATTCTTGGGCTTCCCTGGTGGCTCAGCTGGTGAAGAATCCACCTGCAGTGCAGGAGACCTGGGTTCCGTCCCTGGGTTGGGAAGATCCCCTGGAGCAGGGAACAGCCACCCACTCCAGTATTCTGGCCTGGAGAATTCCATGGACTCCGTAGTCGATGCGGTGGCAAAGAGTGGGACACAACCAAGTAACTTTCACTTCACAGCACAGCTACCATCAGAATTTTTAGAAGTCCCTTATATTTTTCTCTTCCTTAGCAGCTGTACACTGGGTGATATCACTGTATTTTATATTTGAAATAAATATAAAAGGAAAAACATTCCAGCTGGCTTGTCATCAGCGTTTTACTTCTTGTAGTAATTATGCTTTCAACTGTACTACATAGCTTAAGAGTTCATTTTTCAGAAATACATGCAGTTTAACTTCATGGAAGTAGTATAGTATAGTATTAATTTATATGTTCTATATTTATAGTAAATAAGCACATTTTTGTTGAGTCCCAACTATTTGCAAAGCAATACCTAAGTGGTAAAGATAGATTAAAAGATATAATGATCCGTGTCCTCAAGAAACTTACCATCTTTCATTTCACTGGAAATTTTTTTAAAAGAAAAATTAAAAAGCATGTGGTAAGTATCATAATAAACACAGAGGAAGGAATACCAGAATCTGTCTTGATAAAATTTAATTTGTGGATTATCTGAGTTGTCTTGACCATGTATATCAACAGCAGATCAAATCATTGTGAAATTATTCCTGCTTACAGTGGTTCCACATAAATTTGATATAGATCAATTTAGTCTTATTTTTTCTCTTTATTAATTTTTAAGAACTTATAAAGATGAACATGAATTGGTTTCTGTTCCAGTGTTTGGATATTATAAATTTTTAATTTGTTATGTGAATGGAAGACATTTTAAATTGTCACTTTTCAAAATTTCTTTTGACTATTTAGTGCAACCAGAAGTGTGATAGTTGGAATTTGAGTTGCCCCCCCTTTTTTTTTAAGGTTTCCTTTGGATCCTAAAAGAAGAAAAGAATGGGTTCGCCTGGTTAGGCGCAAAAATTTTGTGCCAGGAAAACATACTTTTCTTTGTTCAAAGCACTTTGAAGCTTCCTGTTTTGACCTAACAGGACAAACTAGACGACTTAAAATGGATGCTGTTCCAACCATTTTTGATTTTTGTACCCAAATAAAGTCTATGGTAGGTAATGCTACTTTTCTTTAACTCCATTTTTACCATTTTTAGAATCCATCCCTTTTTGTTTGTAAAATGGAATGATTCAGAATATACTGAAATTAATATATAATACTGTACCTCAAGGAAGTTGGAAAATTGCAGTAAAGATGCAGGCTAGAATTAGTGCTCAGATCTCCTGATTCTATTATTCTTTCCCCAATCCAAACTGTTTTATCATATTGGAATTCTACATTATTGTTAATTATTATCAATAACTGACCCATTGGTTAAACTGAAAAATCTTAATGAAACCTCTAGCATCATTCTGCCCTGGTTTTAGGATAACATACAAATAATGTGTGATAAGTGCTTTCACGGCAGCATACCCGAAGAATACCAGATTAGATCAAAGAATATAAGGTCAGAGGGAGGCGTAACAGAAAACTTCATAGAACTCCGGAGTTTAGGCCGGTTTTGAGGCTGGAGTTTGGAACTTAGGGGAGAGTTCTTGACCTTGCACAGGGCAGCTGCGTAGTACAATGAGAACAAAAATGAATGAGTGAGGGATGAGTGGAAAACAAGTATTAGCAAGTGATGTTTAAAAGGAAGGAGAAATTTAAGGTATAGTATGAATGTATTAAAGCAATGTTTTATCTACTCAAGGAAGATCTAATCAGAAAGGGAAAAACTAGCTGTGAAAGAAGGGTCACTGAAATGTTAAGGGGTAAAATGAACAAAAAAAAATGTAAAAAATTTAGCTTTGAAAAAGAGGACAGACATTTTTTGCTCTGAGAGACGAAAAAAACCACTGCTTTTCTTGAGTTATTTTTGACAGGTAAATTTGCAAATCTGTGTGGTTAATATCTGAATGGGAGAGAAGAGAGAGGAGAGTGTGGTAAACTAATTATTAATATTAACATCACAGATATTAGAAAAGCTCCAAGATGGCAAGCATTTTACTTCTGAATCCTCAGAACCTCAAATAGTGCCTGGTACATAGTACACACTCATATGTTTGTTGAATTTGAAGTATACCTTGGTTTTGACACTTTGATCATTTATTCTTTCAACAAATATTTACTAAGCTTTGCATATGTCGAAATCCAAGTTAGATGCTGGGAATATAAAGATCAAAAAGGAGCCCCTGCCAATTCCTCTAGGCAGAAAGAATGCCAGTTTTAGATTTCATGAGGATAGGAACCATATTTATCTTACTTGTTCACTGTTGTGTTGTTTCAATAAATGTTTGTTGAATGAATGAAAGACACAAGCTTATGAAATTAATGAGATAGTCTGGGAAATAAAAGTTTTAATATTTTTGGAATGAAAATTAAGATGGTGAATGGCAGAATGGGGTGAGATCCTAAATGATATAATATGCCATGTAAAGATTTTTTTTTGTTCTTTAGAAAATAGGGAGGCAAAGAAGAATGTAGCCAGTATTAAAATATCAAATCTATTAGAAAATTATTCTAGTGGCAGCAAATAGATTCAGTTCAGTTCAGTTCAGTCACTGAGTCATGTCTGACTCTTTCCGAACCCATGAACCGCAGCATGCCAGGCCTCTCTGTCCATCACCAACTCCTGGAGTCCACCCAAACCCATGTCCATTGAGTCTGTGATGCCGTCCAACCATCTCATCTTCTGTCGTCCCTTTCTCCTCCTGCCCTCAATCTTTCCCAGCATCAGGGTCTTTCCAAATGAATCAGCTCTTCACATCAGGTGGCCAAAGTATTGGAGTTTCAGCTTCAACGTCAGCCCTTACAATGAACACTCAGGACTGCTCTCCCTTAGGATGGACTGGTTGGATCTCCTTGCAGTCCAAGAGACTCTCAAGAGTCTTCTCCAACACCACAGTTCAAAAGCATCAATTCTTCAGCACTCAGCTTTCTTTAGAGTCCAACTCTCACATCCATACATGGCTACTGGAAAAACCATAGCCTTGACTAGATGGACCTTTGTTGGCAAAGTAATGTCTCTGCTTTGTAATATGCTGTCTAGGTTGGTCCTAGCTTTTCTTCCAAGGAGTAAACGTCTTTTAATTTCGTGGCTACAGTCACCATCTGCAGTGACTTTGGAGCCCAAAAAATAAAGTCTGCCATTGTTTCCACTGTTTCCCCATCTATTTGCCATGAAGAGATGGGACTGGATGCCATGATCTTAGTTTTCTGAATGTTGAGCTTTAAGCCAACTTTTTTACTCTCCTCTTTCACTTTCATCAAGAGGCTTTTTAGTTCCTCTTCACTTTCTGCCATAAGGGTGGTGTCATCTGCATATCTGAGGTTA